GATGAGTGCACGCCGCGATCAGACCGCGGTCCTGCTTCAAACACGAAACAATGCGCCACAGATCAGCGGATAGTTTAGCGCTTCATTCACGTTTCACACGGAAGTCCGCCTGCTTCGCCTGGACCAGGAGGCGTGTGAACGAGAGGGCTATGTGCGTGAGCGCCCCCAGCCGGTGTGGCCATCTCAGTCATGTGACCTCCTGGGTCTGGCATCGTCATCTCACCACAAGCCATCAAGGTTCAGATGAAACTTCAACAAATCGATCGAGGAGGACAAGGCGAACAAGCTGTAGTGCGCTACCAGCTAAGTTGTTGAGGCTAGTCCTGGATCTAGTCAAACAGGCTAGTGCGTCAGCAGTGCGCACTAGCTACACAATAATCAGGGCACTGGCTGATAATTCCGATTTTATAGAAACTTTTAAAGTACCAACAAATCAATATAAAGCACAGACAGGCTATTTAAAAAAAACTGAATATCATGAATCGGTTAAATATTTTTTGTCACTTCTTTCAGAAAGTTAAATCTATATATTCTATAGACTCATTACACATAGAATAAGCCAAGATTTTTTTAAATGTTGATGGATGTGGCTTACAAATAATGCAAACCCAAAATTCAGTGTCTCAGAAAATATGAATATTGTGAAAAAGTTCAATATTGGAAAGCAATCAGGTAATTAGCTAAAAAAGAACTGCAAACGTTTCTGAGCCTTTAAATGGTCTCTCAGGCTGGGTCAAGGGGCTACACAAACATGGGCAAGGCTGCTGACTGGACAGATGTCCAGAAGGCAGTCACTGGTATATGGGACATGTGATGGTGTCATAAGCATCTGTGCTGTGGAGAAAATGAACTGAACCGTTGCTCAGGCGTCCAGACTTTTTTCAAATGAAAGTACATTTTCCATATATTTTGGAAATCAAGGTCCCAGTCTGCAGGAAGAGTGAAGAAGCACAGAATCCACATTGCTTAAAGTCCAGTGAGAATTTTCCACAGTCGGTGATGATTTGGGCTACTGTCACCTGCTGGTGTTGGTCCACTGTGTTTTCTGAAGTCCATGGTGACCTGACCCCGAGATGTGGCATTGTGGTGTCATTAAAATATTTGGGAGCTTCAAAGAACTGCAAAATTTTTGTCTTTGGTTGCAACTGTTCGCCAGGACATTTTAGAGCACTTCATGCTTCCTTCTGCTGCCAAGCTTTTAGGAAATACTAATTTCATTTTCCAGCAGGACTTTGCACCTTCTCACACAGCCAAAGGTACCAAAACATGGCTTACTGAGCATGGTGTTACTGTGATTGTCTGACCTGCAAACCTGCCTGACCTGAACCAAACGGGGAGCAGGGAACAATGGAGAATCTACTGTATGTGATATTGTCAAGAGGAAGATAAGAGACACTAGACCCAGCAATACAGATGATCTGAAGGCCACTATCAAAACAACCTGGGCTTCTATTCCACCTGAGCAGTGCCACAGGGTGATCGCCTCCATGCCATCGCACACTGATGCAGTAATTCATGCAAAATCCTCACAGTTCTTTTTTAAAATATCCTTTGATTAATGATCTCATGTAATTTTCTCAGTTTTGGTTATCTGTAAGCCATAATCATCAAAATTTCAAGAAATAAAAGCTTGATGGCTTCACTCTATGTGTCATGAGTTTATATAATAATGGTTTTGACTTACAGAAATAAGTGACATAAGTGACAATCATTTTTTATGATATTCTACGTTTTTTGAGATGGGCTAGTATAATCTAATGACTCTGCACTTTTGGTAAAGATTTAATGGTGGATTCCAACACCTAACTGGCTATGTTATTGCATTGTGCCGCAACAGGGCATTTATCTTTCTCATATAATTACAGATGTTTGCGTAACTTTCACAAGGTAATTATATGTACATTATAACATAGACTTATAAATTTGCATGCATGCCACTAGTCACATGAAGATAATTCTTACTGTTGATAGTTTGAAGTTGATATGGTGTAATGGTGTATGTAGGTCCAAATATCTTGTTTGTATCTGGGGGCACTCCTGTTTAACAAACAGCAGCACCCTACTCCAGCCCTTTCCTATCACACTTATCAGCAGCACTGACTGTATAATCCAAAACACCAGCAAACTAACACCAAATCTAAAAATACACCCTTTAAAACCTGCAATCTTTCAGTAATTTACAAATCTGAAATCTTACACTGAAATCAGCTGTACCTGCACCTGCTCTTTTGGTTTCAGTGACAGAGAGAATCCACTGTTCCACATTCACCTACCAGTAAATAAAGATCTGAATGTCACTGTATAGATTTGTATTACAGTTCTAGGGGGGCATGCTAAAACATTCTTGTTTTAGAATCTGATTTCATTTCAGATGTCCAAACTTATGATAAATGTTGAACCTTATCATTATTTGGATTAGCTTCACAAACTTAACTTGCCATATTAATCCGACTAAAGTTTGACTAAAGTTTGTACAACTGACAACAATCACATCTTTGGGGTTGAATAATGGCACCACTTTCTGAAGCCACTTTTGTTGATTTATGTTGACAGACAACATGTTGAACTTTGTGCCATTTTTGTTTCTTTTGTTTAACTACAGAGATAAACCATAAACCACAGCAAATTTTGTCATAGAATTCTAATATATCGTCCAGCTCAATTTTAAACTGTAGAGATTCTAGTTGTGATGTCAAATGAAAGCAAGAGTTATAGGGACCCAGGTTTGACCCTTGAGAAACCCCACAAAGGCTATTTTTTGTTAGACTACCAATTTAAAAAATAAGGATTCTAGTTTAGATTTAGAGCACATATTCGTGCACAGAAGCCCCCATGTCCTGGAGTTGTTCACAGGGCTAGAGTGGGTGTTGTCTAAATACTTTTCCTATGTGTGTACACTCTTGATTCTGAATTGATTTGGTGTTTGTTCTGCTCTCTGACTTTTCCATTGTGTCCCCAGGTGCTGATAGGAGTGTTAGCCCAGGGAGGAGGACCCATGCAGCAGGCTCAGTAGCAATTATGTTTGGGTATTGTGGGTATTGATAATGGGTAATAACTTATCTTTTTCATTCCATAATGGAAAACCTTTACTCCAAGCAAGTACATAGTAACCAATCACAATTTACAAGTCAAAGTCAAATCAAGACCTAAACATCAAACACAAATTTTGATTATTTTTATTCTGAAATGTATTTTTATGTGCAGTCAAACATGATACTTGTTGGTGGTGATCAAAGCTTATCAGACCTATCAGCCTGATATAATTACTTATTTCTGACCTAAACTTATTTGTAATTTCATGTTTGCATAAATCCAAGTTGAAAATGTGTCTGATGACTTTGTTTATAAAAATTGTGTATTTTAGGAGCGTTCATGTTGTGCATGTGTGTGCGTGCTAGTGGCCTTGTGTGTGTTTATATCTGGACTCTGGCTCCAGACTTTCTGGGCTCTCGTGTTTAGTCTGTCACTCTCGTCCTTGGGTCAGTCTAAGTTCTGAGTGGCTGCCTGGAGCTTCTCCAGTCCCTCCTCTGGGACACCACGAGTAGTGTTTGGGCCTGTTTGACTTTGACACCCACATCTTTTATATCATAATAAAACAAAATCAAAATTTAAGCTGTCAGTATACTGACAGCTTCACTTAAAAATGCATACATTCCTGTGCACATACAAAACGCCAGCCAAGGGTGCATGGACTCAGGTGCTGCTTCCAAGAGTGGAGCAGGTTTAATCAGGTAAAACATTTGTAGCTGCTAATCATTTCATTTTGATTTTTAGTTTTAGCCAAATAATAGGAAATATGAATAATATGAAAAAAAAGTCATGTTAATTTAGTTGTCTAAACACATAATGTTTTATTAGAAAGTCAATGTTTACTGTGATAAATTGCTTTGCATTGCTTCATGGGACATGTCAAGACATGCTCTGTGGACAATGACTTTTGTATATAGTCTGGTTTTGGGTTGTGGGAGTGAAAAAAGTTTGTATTACTAAATAAAAATTTTAATACTTTCACAGTTTTAGTCAACCAAAATACAACTTTATGATATGATGAGTCAACATGACATGAATATGAATATTTTCAACGAAATTTACAAAATTACATAAGTTGGTTCACTGTCTTCAAGAGATAGAGGCCAAGATTTTTAGCCTGATTCATCAGCCGGTTATACGTCTTAGAAACCGTCTGACCTCACAGCATTAGAATTTGTTCGCTTGTTGGTAAGCAGGTTTTTTTTTTTTCATTTAACCAATCACTGCTATTTAGTCATGAGGTATGTAATGCGCTGCTAATGGGGCTAACTGGTATATTAAGCTTTTCCCAAATCCCGTTGGAAGAAGAGCAATAACTTCTTTTCCCTTGATAAAACTTACCGAACATTCTCTTTGTTCCGGCTTTAAATCCTCAATCTCAGGAATTGTTGCCAAGACAGAATGTATGGCTCTTCGCTGATTGGCTGGTGTCCGAATTTGTACTTCTGGGGTTTTTGTGAACCATCAAGTGTATTCTGACCTGTCGCCATAGAGAAATTAAATTGAGCAGAGGCACTAGGTGTCACCAGCCTGGCTACAAAATTTTGAGCTCAGGCATAAACATGAAATGAAATATAACTCAAATTTAAGGATATAACAATATGGTCTAAAGTTAAAATAAGTTTATAATGTAGAACTCAACAGAAACCAAAACCCAGATCAGGTGTGTGAAGTGGTGAAGACAGATGACCAGCTGTTCACACCCTTCATGTGAATATGTTTGATTTTTGCACCAATCATGTCCTTCTCACGTCCTTCTTTTTCACTTGGTTCTCTTGAGAATAAAATCTTGCAGCCCATTATCAGAAGTTATTATAACTTTGTGTAGATGATTTCACATGTCATCACCAGTCACAGTGACATGCTCAGATAAGAGTCTGCAGTGTGGCGCTCACGTTCATAAACATATGCGCATGGTGCCCGCTGTATAAAGGCTGTGGTCCCTCCCTATGAGCGCACTCGGATACATCATGGCACACCAGCACCTGTGCCTGATCCTGGGTGCAGCCATAGCCCTGCTGTTTGCTGGTATAGGCCTATGATTTGTGGTTTTACGTGTGATTGAACTGATCTCATATCATATCATGTGTTAACATATGACTTTTTCTTTTACAGAGGCTGGAAGATCGTCAATTCATCCTTATCCTCATCTGCCAGGGAATATACATGGTGAGTACTTTAGAAATTATATTGATAGACGTTGAAACTGACATCTACTATTAATTGTTTAATAATAGTTGTATTTTTTGCTTTAATTACTGACTAATATTTCATTATAAAAATACTTGTTTAAATATTTCTGCTTTTATAGATTCCTTTTTTTTTTCTTTTTCTTTTTTGCTCTTGATTAGGTCTACTTAAAATGTTCCCATTTTTTATAGTTACAAAAAAATCTTGAGCATTTCTTTAATAGATGTTATATAAACTTGACTGAGAAGATTTTGCCTTTTAAAACTGCATTTAAACCAATGACTGGTGTCCTTTACATATCCAGTAAAAATCTGATAATGAGAATGATCAGAGAACCAAATATTTAGTTTTCTTGTCAAAACCTGCAAAGGTGTGAACAATCAGAAAGAAATGTGATCACACGTTACATCTAACTCACAATAGGATGTAGCTTTTTACATGACATTTCAGTATATATTAAATAACTGATAAGGCTGGTACATGTAAACATAACCAGTGATTCTTTGCCAACAAAATTACATTACATTTTGCCTTTAACCTTCGAATCCGTGCTGCCCTCTAGGGGTGAGCTCGGTCCGCAGCTGTCAGGTGTGCAGCACGTGGGGGAACTATCACTTCAAGACTTTCGATGGAGACCTCTTCCAACTGAAGTCCGACTGTAACTACCTGCTGGCCTGCTCCTGCTCCAGCCCGTACCAGGACTTCAATGTGCAGGTGCGCAGGGGGCAGGGTCAGGGGGGCCAGCCTGTCATCACCAGGGCACTCTTCAGTCTGGATGGTGTGACTGTGGAGATCACGACGAATGAAGTACTCATCAATGGGAACCCGTGAGTCACATTTAAATTCAACACTTACTAAATTGTCAGTATGCTGCAGTCATGTAATATCTAGTATGGTTTAAAATGTCTATGAATCTACTTTGGAGTAGTTCTATACATCTATTTCATTTTGACATTTAATATTGAATAATACTTTACAATAATTATTTGTTTGATTTATGATTTTAATGTCTTTCTTATTCTGTAAAGTACTTTGAATTACTTTGTGTATGAATTGTGCTGTACAAATAAACTTGCCTTGCCTTGCCAAATTACACTTTAAATAGTCTTAAAGGTCCTAAATTATGCAAAACTGATCCATGTAAGTTTTAAGAATGTTAGTTGTTATTCAAAACATACCTTGAGCTGGGTTTTGTTTCATTCACACATGTTTGAGTGACCCTTTATTATCAATCTGTCTACAATTCCAAAGCTCAAAATGCTCTGCTCTACCTTGTCATGAAGTGGTAGTTTTAACCGCTATGATTTACCTTTTGTTCAGTAGAGATTGGAAATGATTCTAATGAAGGTTTATGGAATTTGACACTTCTTGTCAACACAACACAAGGTGGAATAGAGTGTTTTCTGTTTGAGAAAAGAACACAACCTAAATATGCAGGATTTGTGAGTTAAACATATGAATGAAACAAACACAACTTCGGGTATATTTATGATGAGGAAACATAATAATGTAACGGGCCCTTTAATAAAGCATTAATTCATAATGAACAAATAGTTCAATAAGAACGACTGAGTCTTAGTAATTACTTAATGAATACCCTAACTCCAGACCCCTTCATTAAGTAGTTACTAAGCCTGAACCATTCTCAATAAACTATGTTCATTATAAAGTCTTTGTTCTCACAGAATATTTTTTTTCTAATGGTTACGCAATATGGCATACCTTTCTGGTTTTGATCAAACTACATGTGTTTATTGCGTTGGAAAACATGCATTTTAGTTGACAAAATGTTGCACAAATTTAAAGTAATTTTGTAACTGCAAAGGAATATATTAATTCAACTGTTTTATTTGGTCATTGGATGTTGTTCCCACACATCTTATCTTCACTTTGCCACATAGGTTTAGTCCCCAGTGATAATTTTTATACTCAGTTTTTGTTTTCCTAAATATTTTTATGTAATAATAGAAAAACTGTTCTTGTTTGCAGAGCTGTGTTACCTGTGAGCCAGGCCGGAGTGCAAGTGGAGCGGAGCCATGGCTACATCAAAGTCAGAGCCAAGCTGGGACTGCTCGCCCTGTGGAGCCCAGACTCTTTACTTGTGAGGAAATATTTAATAATTGTATTTTCATAATGTGTTTGTGAAAATGGTTTGAGATATATATATATATATATATATATATATATATATATATATATATATATATATATATATATATATATATATATATATATATATATATATATATATATATATATATATATATATATATATATATTATATTTATATATATATTTATATATGTATAGTTTACGTATGTATTTATTTTATTCTACAGCTGGAGGTTGATAACAAATACCAGAACCAGACATGTGGACTCTGTGGAGACTTCAATGGTGTCCCACTCAATGAGTTCTACAGCCATGGTCAGTGCATGTTCATTAAAGAAACACAATGTAACTTATCTGGTGGGGATCCACCATTTCCTTGTTTGAGATGTTGCACAGTATGGACATACACTGATGTACTATATCTTGTATTTATTCAACTACATTGATCAAAATTACCTTAAAAACTTTCTTACTGTGAGCGATGTCTGACCTGTAACTAAATGTCTCCATGGGTTTAGTTATGTTTACTGTATTTAAATATAATAATAATAACAAAATAAAATAATAAAATATAGATACATTTTATGTTATATTGTGGAATATTCCTGGCGAAGCCATAACACCTCCATGAAGGCAAGCAGATGTCAGACCCTCCACCATCACATTGACAGGAAATAAAAATCTTAACACATAATTGTTTGTTACTGTAGTTTAATTATAATTATAATAACATTGCCATCCACCATTTATTTATGTTTTCTAATTCATGTTTTTTTTTTTTTTTTTTTCATTTTGGTTTCATGTTACATTTTCATTGTTTTGAACAGGAGTCAAAATGCCACTGTGGGACTATGCGAGTCTGTGGAGGAAGGATGGACCCTCGGAAAGCTGCCATGATAGTGGCCCAGATCCCACTCCTCCCAGCTGTGGTCACATGGTCAGTCTGTCGTCTGTCCTTTCTCTGTCCACACTGGACACATTTTGTTTTGTTTGTTGTGAAAGATCTAGGTAGTGATTGGTCAGGTAGCAATACAATAAAGTTTAAAAAAATAATAATATCAGATAGTAGGCAACCAAACTTTTTGAATTGTCATCAGAAACATACGTGCAGATGTGTGTGGGTTTCTTTTTGGGTTTTTTTGTCAAAGTCCGATCGTGTTAGATTTCAGAAGCTAAGCAAGGCCGGGCCTGGTTAGTACTTGGATGAGAGACCGTTGGGAAAACCAGGTGCCACAAGGGGGCTCCAGTTGCAAAAACTGTCATTGTGTCCTTAGGCAAGACAATTCACCCACATTGAGTAGTATGAAAGTGATGTGTGCGTGAGTGATGGTGGTGGTGGAGGGGCCGAAGGCACAGATTGGCAGCTTCGCTTCCATCAGTCTGCCACAGGGCAGCTGTGGCTACAGTAGTAGTTTACTACCACTGAGTGTTGAGTGAATGAATAATGAACTGTAAAGAGCTTTGTGTAGCTTGAAAGGCGATATATAAATGCAGTGAGTAATAAGTAATTAAATCGTTTTCAGTCAGGTAGCAGTTTGTGAAGAAATGTTAAACCCAAAAAGTTGGAAAAAAATTTAATCTCTGTAATCAATACAAAAAAATCGATCCAATACTCAGGGCAATTTACACACAAGGAACATATTCATTAATATTAAGATGGCATATATTTCTTGTCAGGTGATAGCTATTGTATGAATTAGACAAGCTTTGACCCTTGTTTACCTTGTTTAGTGTGGTTGCTTGGTAACAGTTATGGAATTAACTGTGTCCCCGCTGCCCGTGTCCAACTAATAAAATATCTAGCCATGTACCTGACATAGAGGTGTGTGTTGCAGCGACCTGTATGTGAGCGCCTCTTCTACTCCCCCGCCCTGACCCCCTGTCGCCCTTACCTGGACGTGGACTCCTTCCTATTAGCCTGTATCCATGATGCCTGCCACTGCATGACAGACTCTGACTCCAACTCCGACTCCTCTGAGCACTCTCTGTCCAGCTGCCTCTGTCACACGCTCTCCGAGTTCTCCAGGCAGTGTGTACGAGCAGGAGGGAGGCCCGGCCACTGGAGGACCAAGAAGCTCTGCTGTAAGTATGCACAAGCACTGCTGTTTCACTATTTTCTATTAGAGCTATTGTTTATATTGTTAGAATATTTCAGTACAGTTTTTGTCAATGTTATGTTCTTTCTAACCAAAATTTAATAACAAGTAATAATAAATCAAAACATACAAAATTACGTACATTTATATATTTAGTAATTTTGTGGACTAAAGTGTACAGATATTTGGTGGAATAATAATAATAACACCTTTAACACCCACAGTCAATTTATGAGACTAACAGTAAAATTGTTGATGTTTTGTGCCTTAAGTTGACTGGTTGCTGGTGTGTATAGTATGTGTGTATGTATTTGTAATATTCTCAAAATAACCTGATGTGTGTGCTCAGGGAGGACCTGTCCTCTGAAGATGGAGTACAGAGAATGTTCCAGTGCAGTGATGGACACCTGCTCCAACCCTGAGGCCAGCAGCACCAGTGACGAGCACTGCATGGATGGCTGCTTCTGCCCTGAAGGTAAGACACAATGGCATAGGGCCAGTCTGTATAGTACAGTATGATGCAGCATATTATTCTATCGCCACAGGGGGGTAGTGCACAGTTAAAATGTACTCTTTCTTATTACATTTTCTTGAATAACAATACAATACAATATTAAGAAGTAACATTATTTTTACTGAAGTACAACTATTGGCTACTTTATCTACCTCTGACTATGGCACGCAGACTTTAGGCACTGGAGCTTTATTGTGTGGGATCACTATTGCTCATAAACCTGTGTGATTTTATGTAGTATTATTTAATATTATAAGATATTGGATCATGTTATTATATATTATAGAAAACAGTAAACCTTTTCTTGTGTGCATAGCATACTGTACATGACCGTTTGACCACCTCCTCATGTGAATGTACACAGGCACAGTGCTGGACGACCTGACTGGAAAGGGCTGTATCCCACTGAACGAGTGCTTCTGCAGCTACAATGGTCAGAACTACGCACCTGGCGAGAGCTACACTAGCAAATACCAGAAGTGGTGAGTCCTTGGAAAGATTTTTATCACGTTTATCATATTTTTACCTGGAAAACATATCATTACACAGGTGTCTGAGTAATTCTTAAAAAAAATGTGTATATTAACTGCAGTGTTCTAAAGCCTTTTGACCTGTGTGCAGTGTGTGTGAGAGTGGCCAGTGGGTGTGCACAGAGAGAAACTGTTCAGGCACCTGCTCTGTGGAGGGAGGGGCCCACATCACCACGTTTGATTCAAAGACCTACACCTTCCATGGAGACTGCTCTTACACCATGGCCAAGGTAACATGACACTACAGCTTAATATATACATATATGTTAATAAGCTGAATGTTCCTTTAGTCTTTGCTACTAACCAAATCTCCTAACTGAATAAGGAAAAAATATACAGAGAAGTGATATATTTTTGAGTATATTTTGAGTATATCTTGAGCAGCTTTGGCAGCTGGTGTTTTAGCTGTACTGCTATTTCCTTACTGTCCAGAAAAGGGTGCAATTGCCTGTGCCTGTTTATTATTACATGCTAAATTCCAATTCTAAGTGGTTTCAAATAAGAGTAATTCTGTAATGTCCTGCATTTGAGGCTTGAGTACTTGAGAACAAAATGTAAAATAATGATCTACATACATAATAGTAAAATCAAAATACTTTAAAAAGCATATGTCTTCTTTAAATTAATACAAATGTAATATGTCATAACACTTTAAAACGTTGATATATTTGTTGTCAGGACTGCGATGGAGATCAGTTTGTAGTCCAGGCTGAGCTGAAGCAGTGTGGCCTCTCAGAGACAGAGACATGTCTGAAGGCTGTGGTCCTGGCTCTGAACGGAGGGGCCAACGTCCTCACCATCAAATCCAATGGCAAGGTCTACGTCAACGGCATCTACGCACAGCTGCCCTTTCCACAGGTCTCTCACATATCTTAACATTTTTGTTTGTTTTGTTTCTTCTTTTCACTTTTTCGTTTTCATTTCTGAGAGGTAGACGGTTGTATACAGGGGCAACCAGCTCAAAATGTTGTTAAAGGTGCAAAGTGTATACTCGATATACCGATTATTATACCACAATAAAGATAGAAAGTGCTCCTTTTTAAGTATTAGAATATTTCAACACAAAATGATTGCCCTAATGTTACCATTAGGTCTTATCGCTCAAAATCATACTAAAACTGTGAAAGCTAAAATTGTATGCTCTTAATCTTTTGCAGTAGTCAAACGTACTCAAATTAATATCTAGTTTTGATATTAGTTTTAGTAGCGATTAATATCTTAGATAATAGATTAGATAGATTAGATATGTTTGATTGTTGACTCCATGGTGATAAATACCTTCAATGCCATACTGTGGAATATTTCAGGCAAGCAGGTGATGTACACCTTTAAATGTATTTATTTATTTTTATTTTTTATTTTTTGTCCTATATTTTATCATTTAGATCCATATGCTTATGTAGAATTAGCTGTTTATTCTGAGCAAATACTGCTGAATTGTGTAGTTGTACTTGTCATGCTTATTTGCGTCAACAGAACATGCAGAATACATTGTGAGGACCATGCATGAATGCTCTTTTGCTTTGGGTTACAGTGGGAGTGATAGCCTTCCAAGCCTCGTCCTTCTACATTCTGGTGAAGACCTCTGTGGGTGTGCTCCTGGAGGTGCAGCTGCTGCCCATCATGCAGCTCTTCATCACAGTGGAGAGCCAACACAAAAACAAGATGTGTGGTATGTTCATAATCTGATTCACATGTCAATATATGAACAAAGTTATAGTCAAGATTGTTTGGGTTTGAGCTTGTCTTTTAAAACAATTCTAGCTGTTGTACTTTTATAGTTTATTTTGATTCATATTCTAAGATAACAAACATTACCGTATTTTGCTTTGGGGGGCCTTGTATCAGTTTGCAAATCTATAATAAACTAGAAAAGCACTCAGAGAGCGCAGACCTCCGCCAAGGACTACAGTCCCCCTCATATTAATTGTGTTTTCCATAAATATTTGTCTCGTATCTTTCAATTTGGAATATGAAAGAGGATCCCATTGTCCATCCCTGAGTCAAATTTCATGGGGTTTGGTCAATAATTACCTCCGCCAAGGAGGTTATGTTTTTGCCGGCGTTTGTCTGTTTGTTTGTTTGTTTGTTAGCAACATAACTCAAAAAGTTATGGACCGATTTTGATGAAATTTTCAGGATTTGTTGGAAATGTGAAAAGGAAGAACTGATTTCATTTTGGGGGTGATCCGGAAGAAATCCTGGATTCTGGATCACTTTGAAATTTTAGTTAACATTGTGGTAAATGGGGCCAAAAATGTTGTTTCTCAATATCTCGGTTAATTATTGACCAAACCCCATGAAATTTGACTCAGGGATGGACAATGGGATCCTCTTTCATATTCCAAAGGCTGATCCGGATCTGATCCAGAAGACTGATTTTATCGCAATTTATATAAAAAATGGGGGTAGTCCTTGGCGGAGGTCTGCGCTCTCTGAGTGCTTTTCTAGTTAACCAAGATATTGAGAAACAAAATTTTTGACCCCATTTACCACAATGTTAACTAAAATTTCAAAGTGATCCAGAATTCAGGATTTCTTCTGGATCACCCCCAAAATGAAATCAGTTCTTCCTTTTCACATTTCCAACAAATCCTGAAAATTTCATCAAAATCGGTCCATAACTTTTTGAGTTATGTTGCTAACAGACAAACAAACAAACAAACAAACAAACAAACAAACAAACAAACAAGCAAACAAACAGACAAACGCCGGCAAAAACATAACCTTCTTGGTGGAGGTAACTACAATAGATTATTCAGGTTATGAATTAGTCTTAACACGTTTTCCTCACTTTCCTCATGCAGAGGAAAGAGTTTTGCCATCATGGTAATGCTAACAATAACAACAACAACAGTCTTATTTTGACCCTAAAAACTGCTACTACAGTGTGTTTATAATGTACAAATTTTACATTACTACACAAAAAAACCTGCACCTTTAACTTTAACTCCTGCTTTAAATGAAGTTCTGATGTCTTCTATCTATTTTATTTGCTCTGAAGGTCTGTGTGGAAACTTCAACGGGAACCAGGCAGATGACTTCATGAAGCTGAGTGGAGTGCTGGAGGCCACGGCCACAGGTTTCGCAAACAGCTGGAAGACCTGTGCCAACTGCATGGACGTGAGACCGGTGTACCATGACCCCTGCACCCTGAGCCACGACAGCGGTATGGCTTGGGTGGGGTTACAGTGAGTCTGTCACTGTTGTGGGTGGAATTTGTCAGTGCTGTTGCAGGGCGCAAAGTGTGTCAGTAGTATGGACAAAGTTTACAAGTTTATCAGTGTTGTTAGTAAAGTTAGTAAAGTGGGCGGAGTTCATCACTGTTAGGAGTGGAGTTTAATAATGTGCGGGTGGTCAGTATAGAAAGCATAGTTTTGGAAGTGACTGTAAAGTTTAATCTGCCTTTTTGAGAATTTTGAGAGCTTTTGCAGTTTTTGCTACATCCCCATTTAATTAAGAATTTCTTCAATACCGCCCTAGAGTTTATTAGTATTATTAGTCAGTGTGTTGGATCAATGGGTGGAGTTTTTCAGTATGATAAGAGGACTTTGTTGTATGGTGGACAGAATTATTTTCCTGATGACTGATGTGTTGCTTATGTGGGATTCTAGAGCAATTCGCCCAGCACTGGTGCAACCAACTGATAATGAAAAACGGAGTGTTCGCCCCCTGCCACGCGCATGTCAACCCCGAACCCTACTACCAGGTGAGTGGCATACCTTTCGCACATGCACAAATTTGCTCGCGTGCACAGATTCGCTCACATCCACAATCTCCCTCATGTGCACAGACTAATACTTAAGTGTTATGATTGATGTTCCAGAGGTGCACGTATGACAGCTGTAACTGCGAGCGGAGTGAGGACTGCATGTGCGCAGTTGTGTCCTCCTATTTCCATGCCTGTTCAGCAGCAGGAGTCTGCATTTCAGGCTGGAGAGACGTACTCTGTGGTAAGGGCCCATAAACACAACTATTGTATTCTTACCAATATAAGGACAAATTAAGTAACATTTGTGACAGTTATTGACCAGTGACTTCAGTTACATGCACACAATGAAATACACACAAATATTTGTTTTGTAGGTCCTATACTATGCAGAAACATTTATTCTTATTGAGCTTTAAGTCATGTTAGAATGTTGTTTCCTCATCAAAAACAATCTCGGAGTTGTGTTATTTTTTCATTCGCACATGTATAAGTAACACTGCATTATTAGGCTGGTCCATGGCTAAAATTATCCAAATGATTCTAGTGAAGGTCTGTGGAGTTTACAAATACGGTAGAGCACTTCCTATATTACCACATGACACACAAGGCAGATCTGAATGTTTTCTATTTCAGAGAAGTACTCAACCTAAATATACAGGGGTTTTGTGTGAATCATGTGTGAATGAAACAAAACACAATTCTGGGTATGTTTGTGAAGAGGAAACAACATTATAACATAGATCAGAAAATAGTGCAATGTTCCGCAAGCACTTTGATGAGACAAAATAACACTGAAAACTGTGATGTTCAGTACAATAATTATAATTACCCAGGACAAAAAGGGTCTTACTCTGAAAAACATCTCAAAATTACAAATCAAATAGTAATATTTCTTGAAAATGTATTGTGTCATTTAGGAAAAAGTGATGTACAAGTGCTTATTTCTCTCCACGTGTTATTTAATGCATAAACCTCTGTGTTCTCTGCATAGGGAAATACTGCTCGTGCCCTCCAGGGATGGTGTACTCTTACAACATCACCTCTGGTCCTGAGACGTGCCGCTGCAGACACTCCTCTGAGCCTGACTGTCACCTGTCCTTCCTTCCACTGGACGGCTGCGTGTGCGCCCCCGGGACTTACCTGGATGACTCCGGGAACTGTGTCCCTCCCGCGGAGTGTCCCTGCTACTTCGAGAACATGGTAGTGCCAGCAGGACAGGTGGTGCAGGTGATGGGCGGTATCTGGTATGTATTGTACATTAATGCTGAGAACCTAAAATATGTGCAAATACTGTATATATTTTCATGTTTGATTTAGATGTAAATATTGTATTGTTCATTGTACCTAAAATTTTAGATTTTTAATCCTTTTAACAACTATAAACCAAATTTACCTAAGGGTACAAATAAAGACACCTTAAAGTGTCATATTACGCTATTCTCTGATCTATATTATATTTCCTCATCACAAACACACCTGGAGTTGTGTTTTTTTTCATTCACACATGTTTAACACACAAACCCTGCATATTGATTCCTTCTCTCAAACATTCCACCTTGTGATGACCTTCATTAGAATCATTTGGATAATTTCAGCCCTGGAACTGCAAATCTATACTGAACAAAAGATAAGCATTTTGAGCTTTGGAGATAGAGACAGACTAACAATAAAGGGTTACTCAAACAGGTGTAAATGAAACCAAACACTACTATAGTTATGTTTTTTGTTGAGGTAACAATATTATAACATGGCTTAAAGCTTACAAGAATCCATTTTGTGTAATATAAGACCTGAACCGTAATCATTTGTTGGAAAAAAAATATCTGGCATGCATGATTTTTCACTGTTAGTAATGTTCCTGAAATGTTTCTACAGCACGTGTAGAGATGGTTTCATCAGTTGTGTTGGAATTCCAAATGAACATCCAGGTAAGACCCCTTCACTTTGTTGTGGAGTAGTTCAAAAAACAATTCTTTTATATGGAATAACCAAGGTATTTATGTTAATTTAACAACATCTTGGGAAAACTAGATGACTCATTAGAGTCTGCAAAGTATGCAAATTATGACTTCACACCCGAGGACAGTTCAGTAATCACGGATGCTCCTTACTGTAAACAGAGGTGTGGTAATTTCAGTGTAGTTAGTTCCTCTCTCCAGACAGATATTTAATGTAGTAACTGAATCCTGTCAGAACTGAAGAAGCCGCTTGGACGTATGGCAATATGTATTCACTTTTAAAAACCTTTGCTGCAGTTGACAGCATTAAAATGTCTCTTGATATAGTAATCATATTGTGTCTTTAATATATTCTTTGAGAAATATATGTATTTGTGTGCATTACTAGCATTAATTTAAATAGTCTATTGGTGTATTATACTGATTATATTGTAATGCTTTTTAATAACAGTCAATGTTCCAGTAATAACTTTCTAACTTCAAGCTATTTAGTAATGCATATCTATATTTTTATCTATGTCTCCACTATCACACCACAAAGTTACCAACCACAAAACCCAATATTTTACAAAGGGAAGGAGGCAGTGTAGCCAGTGATGAAAATTCTTGTATAACTCAAAACAAGGTCTAAACTTCAGGCTTTGTATTTTGTTGCAGAGGTATGTGATCCTCCCCTGGTCTACTTCAACTGCTCTCAACACGGCTCATCAGCTAAAGGCAAAGAGTGTGAGAAGAGCTGTGCCACACTGGATTCTGCTTGTGTGAGTACCCCCACAGACTGTATATATAATTCTGTTTTTTATATTTTGTTCTTTTATTATGCAGTCTGCTTGCTATACTATATGTACTATTACATCAGAAATACAAACTTGTTATGAAGAATCTTGTAAAAAAGCTCATACATGGCAGGATCTAAACTAAAGTCTGTTTATGTTTATGTTTTATGGTGTTTAGGTAAGCTCTGGCTGCACATCTGGCTGCATGTGTCCACAAGGGATGATTTCCGATGACCAAAAAGGATGCATCAAACCAGTGGCGTGTCCCTGTGTCCACAATGGGCTGTCCTACTCTCCTGGACAGAGCATCAAAGTAGACTGCAACACCTGGTAAGTCTGCGCAATAGAGTTGGCATATTATCCAGCATTATAAACACAGTTATGCAGAAGAATCAACTCACTCCATATGCATGTAACTTAGGCCTGCCATGATAATTATTACAATTATTGACTTATTGTTCAATATATAATAATAATATTAATAATGCATTAGTCTTACATAGTGCATTTTAAAGACGCTCAAAGTTGCTTTACAATTTGGTGCATTATTCATTCATTCTATACCCAGAGGCAGTAAGGTACAGCTGCCCTGAGACAGATTGACAGAAGCAAGGCTGCAAATTTGTGCCATCACTCCCTCCACCCACCTAGCCTGATTCATCACCCGGTTTTACTTTGTTTCACTTCATACAAAATGTCTGACCTCGCAGCCTTAGATTTCGTTTGCTTGACGGTAGGCGGGTACTTTTTATCATTAAATCAATCACTGCTATTTGGTCGTGACGTATGTAATGCGCCGCTAACGGGGCTAACTGGTATATTAAGCTTTTCCCAAATCCCATAGGAAGAAGGGCAATAACGTCTTTCCCCTTGATGAAACTCACCACACACTTCTCTTTATTTCGGCTTTAAATCCTCGATCTCGGGAATCGTTGACAGCACAGAATATATGGCTCTTCGCTGATTGGCTGGTGCCCGAACCTACACTTCCGGGGCTTTTGCGAACCTTCTATTGTATTTTGATTCCTGACCTAGTTGCTGGAGAGAAATGACATTGAGCAGAGGCACTAGGTGGCGCTAGCCTGGCTACCACCCACCACCAACACTCATGCACACACCACATTCTTACTAGGCAATGTGAATGATGTGGCACCCTCTGTGGGTCAATAGTAGGTCATGTATACAGTTTCTATGCACAAGTGAATAATTGTGTGTTGTTGTTTTTTTTTTTTTTTTGTCTTTATAATATGAGCAGTTAAAGGGTTAGTTAATAACTTATAGAGATGGAAACTAACTACTAAAGTGTTTCATTTTGCTGTTTATTTCTTGATTTATGAGGTATATCTGCTTTAGCGTTATTGTGTCAGATGTGTTATTTGGTAGGAACATATATCTCTTTAAAGTGTGTTATTGTGACATGTAATAACTGCTTAACATATTGTGTATCTAATTATCAAATACTGCAAACTTTCTTGTTTCAGCGTGTGCAAAAACAGGAAGTGGGAGTGCACTTTGATGCTATGTGAGAGCATGTGTACCCTGTATGGAAATGGACATTACCAAACCTTTGACCACCACCGCTTCACGTTTGACGGCAACTGCGAGTACATCCTGGTCCAGGTGATCACACCCAGAGCTCATTGGTCTCTGGTTGCATTACATAGTACACTGATGTGATGCTAGTTCTGTATACATTGAACTCTCTTCTCTTTTACCATCTTCATTAAAGAATAAAACAGAAGTGAAATGACTTTAAAGAAAACATTTTTAGACCATTTAGTGACACGGTATGACATGAAGACTGAAAAACACAATACTGAAGAGAAACGAGTTCATTGACTCCTTGATCAGAACTACAAAACTGATTCTTTTCTGTTGTCTGAAGGACAGTACAAGATTAATCAAATATTAATGAATCACTCAAAATACAACTCAGTGTAAACTAATGTAGTAGTGAGGAAAAGCCTTTATAACATGGAAAGCTCAGTACCATTTGTCATATTTCTGTTTTTTACTTTTCTGATCTGTATTATAATGTTGTTTCCTTATCAAAAACATACGTGGAGTTATATTTTTCTTCATTCACACAAGTTTAACACACAAACCTTGCATATTTAAGATTAGTTCTTCTCTCACACAGAAAACACTGTTCTACCTTGTAATGTCATGTGGTAATATAGGAAGTGCTCCATTCCACACGTCTTTACTACAACACTGTGGATGATTTTAGCTCTGCAGTTTCCAATCTCTACACATCTAAAAGTAAAAGGTAGCTGTTAACTTGAAAAGTACACTTCATGGCATCACAAGGTGGAGCAGAGCATTTTGAGCTTTGGAGATGTAGACAGACTAATAATGCAGGGTTACTCACACGTGTGAATGAAATAACACACAACTCTGGGTATGTTTTTGAGGAAATTACAACCTTATAACATTGCTTGAATCTCGTTTGCGTAATATAGGACCTTTAATATCTTTAATACTAACCCAAATGTTATGTTTTGTAGGACCACTGCAATAAGGTCGAGGGTTCCTTCAGAGTGGTGATTGAGAACATCGCCTGTGGCTCCACTGGCACCACCTGCTCCAAGACCATCAAGGTCTTCCTTCAGGTCTGCAGTTTTGTTATTAAAGAAGACATCATATGCTTTTTGAGATTTTAAATATTACTGTAAACTATAATATACATAGATTATTACTGTACATGAGGAATCTGAATTTCTTGAATATTTACAAGTACGTACTGAGAAGTGGGTGGAGATAGGTGGAGGCTGAGCACTCAAGGCTCAAAAATAGGGTAATATGGGATTACTCCAATTTACATGAAGCAATCAAAATACAACTCTGAGTAAGACATTGGTGTTACAACAAGGTTAAAAAGCTCATAGTCAATTTTACATATGATTCCGTTTTTATAATTTGGTTTTGATTGTAGCTGGCAGAGTTAATACAAAAACATCTGCAGGTAGAATGATGTAGTAGGTAGGTAGCATAGACTGTATATATAAATGGACATATTGTAGCTAGTTCTCTAGCCGCCACAATCCAGATAGGAAGTGAGCATGAGGGCACTTCAATGCCTATTGACTCTGGCTGCCATTTACTTTGCACTGAAAATTTGCCCACCTTCTCTCTGCAACTGTTGCAGTGAGCCTCATCATTTTGATTTAAAATGTTTGTATTAATGTGCTCTGCATTGTTCTGGTGTTTTTATTTCGCCAATTTGTCCATAAATAAATTCCTGTTCTTAATCTGTAACTTTGCTCCAAATTCGGTCCTGTAACTGCTAGCTGAAATGAGCTTCATTTTTAATTTTTTTTTGTTTTATTTCAAATATACAATGCAAAATTCAATGGTGCAAACAATAACGCTGCCAGAGGCTCAAGAAGGGCTCAGCATGTGCAGCATTTTCAATAAATGCAAATATGCATTATACAAATTCAGAAAAACTAAAAAATAATACATATTTTATATTTCAAATTCCATACATATTGCTTTTGTTTATATGGCTTTGGGATTTGTACAATAATTTTGAGAATTAAGATAAGAGGACAAGAGGGACTGAAATACAACAAATTTGTGTTTCTGACTAGAAAATGTGCAGCAATGTACATGAAATTATGATAGGATTAGGATTTAGCTCAACACATTTTTTTGTTGTTGTTGCAGCAATAGCTTTCTCAAAGACACCAAAAACTACATGTTTTACATTTAATTGTAGGTTTGTATCAAGCTTTCTATTCACAAACAAAAATATGTCATTCTAAAAGATTTGAGCATATGCGCATTCCCAAAACACATGGGTGACCGTTTCCACAACTCAGACAGATTGAGCAAAGATTATCTATGTCTAATGAAATTTTGAAATGACAGCGTTAACAGGTATGAGCTTCATTTGACTGGAGCCAAATGCTATGGGTGACATCACGCTCCCTTAGTCCACTTCTTTATACAGTCTATGGTAGGGCGTGGTTATGTACCTAATGATTTCCTTGCTAGTATAGAATACGCATTGAAATGGCTGGTACAAGTGCAGTAGGAATAGTTATTTTAACAGTCTTGATAAGTGTCTTGGTGGCTGTTGTGGTGTGCAGGACTCTGAGCTGGTTCTGACCCAGGGCAACTACCAGGTGCAGGGATCACAGGCTCCATATCAATTCAGTACTATGGGACTCTACCTGGTCATCGAGATCGACATTGGACTCACCCTCATCTGGGACCGCAAGAACATCCTCTTCATCAAACTCAGCCCAAAATACATGGTATACTGTCAGCTCATACCAGTCTTAAGAATACACAATCACAACTTTGAAATCTTTACACTATCATTGACTAATTCTACATCATGTTAATCTTTAGTCAGTAGTATCAAAAAGGAGTAGCATTTTTCAAGTTTGACTCAACATTTGACAACTGTGAATATTTTTGAAAGTTTTGGCTGAATTTTTTATGTTTTCTGACCTGTCCTCATTCTCAAAACTCTAGATATTTAGAAGGTTCATTTACACCGTTCTGAAACCCATGGATAAAATGTCCATATTGTAACTGTCTGCAATGTCCAGGGCCATGTGTGTGGGTTGTGTGGAAACTACGACGGTAATGCCAACAACGACATGACCACTCGCTGCGGAGCCACTGTCATCAACCCTCTCGTGTTTGGAAACAGCTGGAAGGACTCTCCGAGCTGCCCCGACGAGCACGCTGTCCCCAGCCCCTGCATGGTCAACCCCCACCGACTGCCCTGGGCCCACAAGCAGTGCACCATCCTCCTCAGCCAGGTCTTCTCAGCCTGCCATGCCACTGTACGTATAACTGTGTTTCCGTAACAGCAGTCTACTTTGTGTAATGTGGGCTGGGTCAGGTTCTGTCTGTGGAGGAGGGCAGTTTCTTGCTTTGTGGGTGTTCAATGTACAATGCTTTTTGAGGAGACTTTAACACTAAAATTATTCAGATTGAATACAGGGATTGGTGTTGAGTTGATGAATAGTGTACTGCAACTATAGAGCTTAACCAGTGGAGATTTTAAGATGATACTTCATTCATTCATGAGTTCATTCAAAATTGTTGTTCTATGGAGTGGTAAATATATTTACCAGTAGAGCTTATAGGGTTGTTCCATGGCTCTTTTGTTTATTTTTGTCTTATGTATCTCTATAGATGTTTGCATCAGAAATATAAAGTTTTGATGTTGCATCCCAAGCAGTAAAAAAAATCCCATTACAAAACATTGTTCATTGAATAATGACAATGCTTTGTACCTGCATTATTTTTAAATGTAAAATATGGAATAGTGTGGCTGTTGTGGTCAAATTGATTTCTAAAAGCTATGAATATGTGTTCTACAGGTGGATCCAGCTCCTTACTATGACGACTGTGTATTTGACACGTGCTCATGTGACACTGGGGGGGACTGTGAGTGTCTGTGCACAGCTGTGGCTGTCTACGCAGAGGCCTGTAACCAGGCTGGCATCTGTGTGGAGTGGAGGACCCCAGACTTCTGCCGTAAGTCCACAAACAGCTCACACACTAGGCTATCTCTTGACACAACATGTTTCTTTATTTACTAAAATAGTTATAAATATATAATTTTATATGCATCTAATTTAGTACATATTTTTCAGCTGAGGTGGGCAGAATAGCATTTTTGGCTACTCTGACCTGACATGGAGTATGATGTATTGGATATTCTCACATTGTCACAGCAAATGGTCTATTTGGTAATTTGTCAGTAGATAAATACTCTTTATATGTCACTGTATTTTTTCCAGCAATCTTTTGTGATTACTACAACCCTCCACACGAGTGTGAATGGCACTACAAGCCCTGCGGTGTTGCCTGTATGAAGACCTGCCGAAACCCCTCTGGTCACTGCTCCTCCAACATCCCTCCTCTAGAAGGTAAGCACTCACCTGCACTGACTGAGGTCCTGTGCTTTTTCACTACATCCATAAATAACATAAAAAGTATTTTCTGTTGGGCAATCTGCCACTTTCTTGTCTCTGTGGAAATATATTGCTCATCATGGAATGTTCCACAGTATGGCATCAAGATCATTTATCTTCTCAAAAATATTTATCTTGTAATTGTTCAAATAAAGGTGTTTTTATTGCTGGAAAAATGTCATGGAAAACATGCATTCTCAGTGTGACCTATAAATTGACCTGACTTGTTTAGTTTAATGCTACAGCGTACAGCAGTCCAGGCAAAAGCAAATTATCTCCATGGAGACAATCAGATGGCAAATCCTCCACCAGAGAAATTACATCGCGCACCTTTAACTTCATATTAATTTTTATACAGGCTGCTACCCACAATGCCCATCTGCACAGCCATACTTTGATGACACTGCCATGACCTGTGTAGCCAAAGACCAATGTGGTTGCTACGATACCAAAGGAAGACATTTTAACAATGGTGACACCGTGCCATCGTCCCTAAACTGTTATGTATGGTAAGTCTAATCATAATACTCTCTGCCAATGACTTTCTATGTACATTTTCAACTATTACAATATATTTTCTTTCCTCTAGTACTTGTGAATCTCCTACCATCCAATGCCATTACGACGCAAATGGTACAGCAGGTCTTGTGTTTGCACTCCTATTTAAAGTGCAGTTTGTCTGATATTTTTGTATATGTTTCAGCCTGTATGTGCCTGTATCATGGCGTCTCATATCCCCTTGGCAGTGTCTTGTACAATACCACCGACGGCCATGGGAACTGCCTCATTGCTGTGTGTGGTCATAATGGCACCATCGTGCGCCACTTACACCCCTGTCCAGACATCTCTCTGGCCACGACTACCCCTTTCCACTTCACTACAACCGGTAAAAATGTTTAGTTATGAGTTATGAGTCCAGGGTAATGCTTTTGAATTTGTTATACCTATGTTACCTAAATATAATTTAGAATGCTACACTGAATTTTAAGCTTTCAACCATGCTATGCTACATTTCTCTAACTGTTTATGTGATTGTTGTTTTAAAACACTTTAAAGCAGTGGTTCTCAATCATGGGGGTTGTAAAATGGTTTTAGGGGGTCCCCAGATAATAGATGATATTGGAAATGATGATATTTAGTTGTCTTAATGAAGGCTTGACCCTTTCAAATGCAGTGGTTGATGTAGATTCCTATTTGTTAACCTACCAAATTAATTTATCTAAGTCTATGTCCTGAAAACAAGATAAAATCATTTTGTGGGTTGCCTTCGGGGTTCAGAAATGCCAGTGGTTGCTTTAAAGGATGCAAAACTTAAAAAAAAAAAAAAAGTTCAAGAACATACCTGGATTCACGCTTGTTTTATCAATGCTGATTACAAGGCTGTCTTGCTTTGAACCCCAGAAGTCATTTCGTTTCAGATTTGGGGAATAACAGTTTTTGAGTACATTAATCCTTTTTGCCATCAAATAACAATCATTCCATCGACAGTCTTGTATTAGCACGCTAATTTTAAATGGATAGTTTTTTTCTTTTCTTTCCCTGATTCATTCCCACTGCTGATAGTATGGCACACTAACACTGAAGCCAAGTAATGGAAGCAGAACTGATGCAATATAAAGGTTGTTTTCTATACATATGCATTGTTCTCTAAAAGTTCTAAAACAACAAGATACTCTAGAGTATGCAAATTATGTAATAAGCGTCCTTTAAACAACAAAATCTCTTATATCTTTTCCTTTACCACTCAGAAGAACCCTGTGAAGAGATCTGCTACTGGACCAACTGGATCAACTCAGACCACCCTAAGTACGGCAAAAAGGGAGGTGATAACGAAAGCATCCAGCGGCTCTTATACATGAGATATGACGTTTGTATGAATCCCGTCAAAGTAGAGTGTCGAAGTGTCCAGTACCCACACAAGTCACTCAGCGAACTGGGACAATCTGTCATATGTAACACTAATATTGGATTTATGTGCAAAAATAGCCAGCAGCACCCACCCATATGTTTGGACTATGAAATAAGGATGAAGTGTTGCAAACCAGGGCAATGCATCACAACAAGGCCACCCACACCTGTCACAAAACCACCCATTACCACAATTGTTCCCCCTCCAACTGTTTGTCCTGGAGGGGACACAATGATCTGCACATGGTCACAGTGGTTCAACCTTGGACATCCATCACCACAACCTAATGGGGTGGAGATTGAATCCATTCGGGACATCATTGCTGCTGGATTCCACATCTGTTCAGATCCAGTGTCTGTGGAGTGCAGAGCAGTTCAGTATCCAACTCTGTCCATTTCTCAGGTGGGGCAAGATGTCATCTGTGATAAACATGTAGGCCTCATATGCAAAAATAATGAACAGGGACTGATGCACAAGTGCTATGATTATGAGATTCGAGTTAAGTGCTGTGAATGTCCAACATCATCAAGTACGACCCCAAAAGCCACCATCACCACCCCTAAACCAAGAACCACCAGAACTCCTCCAACTTCCATCATTCTGCCCACTACTCCTCCATGCCCTGCTGGACAACAGATGACGTGTGAATGGTCACAATGGTTCAACCTTGGCCACCCATCACCAGGACCCAATGGTGAAGAGGTGGAGTCCATTCGGGACATCATTGCTGCTGGATTCCCCATTTGTATAGACCCAGTGTCTGTCCAGTGCAGAGCAGCTCACTACCCAGCACTCCCTCTTTCTCAGGTGGGACAGGATGTGACTTGTAACAAAGACGTTGGTCTAATTTGTAAAAATAATGATCAGGGACTGGAACATGATTGCTACGATTATGAGATGAGAGTCAAATGCTGTAAGTGCTTAACAACATTAACTACATCACCTACCACTATGCCACCTTCCACCACCACAACCTGTACAACCACAACCCCACAAACAACAACACCAATTACCACAATTGTTCCCCCTCCAACTGTTTGTCCTGGAGGGGACACAATGATCTGCACATGGTCACAGTGGTTCAACCTTGGACATCCATCACCACAACCTAATGGGGTGGAGATTGAATCCATTCGGGACATCATTGCTGCTGGATTCCACATCTGTTCAGATCCAGTGTCTGTGGAGTGCAGAGCAGTTCAGTATCCAACTCTGTCCATTTCTCAGGTGGGGCAAGATGTCATCTGTGATAAACATGTAGGCCTCATATGCAAAAATAATGAACAGGGACTGATGCACAAGTGCTATGATTATGAGATTCGAGTTAAGTGCTGTGAATGTCCAACATCATCAAGTACGACCCCAAAAGCCACCGTCACCACCCCTAAACCAAGAACCACCAGAACTCCTCCAACTTCCATCATTCTGCCCACTACTCCTGCATGTCCTGCTGGACAACAGATGACATGTGAATGGTCACAATGGTTCAACCTTGGCCACCCATCACCAGGACCCAATGGTGAAGAGGTGGAGTCCATTCGGGACATCATTGCTGCTGGATTCCCCATTTGTATAGACCCAGTGTCTGTCCAGTGCAGAGCAGCTCACTACCCAGCACTCCCTCTTTCTCAGGTGGGACAGGATGTGACTTGTAACAAAGACGTTGGTCTAATTTGTAAAAATAATGATCAGGGACTGGAACATGATTGCTACGATTATGAGATGAGAGTCAAGTGCTGTAAGTGCTTAACAACAGCAATCACCAGAATAACTCTAACGACTCCTTGTCCTTTTGGAATTCCCAAGCCCTGCAAGTGGTCACAGTGGTTCAACCTTGGACATCCCTCAGCAGAGCCCAATGGCATGGAGGTGGAGTCCATTCAGGACATCCTCGCTGCTGGATTCCCCATCTGTTCAGATCCGGTGTCTGTGGAGTGCAGAGCGGCTCAGTATCCAACTCTGTCCATTTCTCAGCTGGGACAAAATGTCAAATGTGATAAACATGTAGGCCTCATATGCAAAAATAATGAACAGAGACTGGAGCACAAGTGCTATGATTATGAGGTTAGAGTTAAGTGCTGTGAATGCCTAACAATTTTCACCACCACTACACCCCGTACAGAGCCTGTCAACTGTTCCTGTATCCATAATGGAGTTGCCTTTTCTCCAGGTATGATTATTACTTCAGTACTTCAATTAAACTTTGCCTTTCAATCAATACTTTGTCAACCTTTCTTCTTTCTTTATCAGGTTCAACCGTTTACAACTATACAGACTTTGAGGGCTACTGTTACATTGGCTACTGCAACCAGTCGTGTGATGTTGTGGTTCTGCATTACCTGTGCGTTACAACAACCCCTATCACCCCATCCAAGGACTGTCTTCATCTCCACCCACCCAGAAAGGTATGCCCAAATCTACACTTAAAATTACACCCTTCACTGTACATGTGTTTTGCAGTCTTAAAAACTTTAAAATCAGCACAAGTTCATTTTAAATGGTTTGCAAACATCCAAAATCATTCCTTGCTTACCTTATGCATTCTCAGAATATAAATTACCGTATTCACCGCAATGAGTTTATAATATGCATATGCAATATGTGTATGTCAGAGGAAAGAGGGTGAGCTCTATGCTTTACATTTGTACAGTTGTAGAATATTGGTTAAGGTTAGGCCCTAGGTTTGAGATTCTGGTTACGCTATTATCTGATCTATGTTATAATGTTGTTTCCTCATCAAAAACACACCTGTGTTTTGTTTCATTCCTACATATTTAGGCTGACTTCCTCTCTGAAATGGAAAGCACTTTGTTTCACCTTGTGATGTCATGTGGTAATACAGGAAACGCTACACTATTTTTAAACTCCATACACCTTCACTAGAATCATTTGCATGATTTCAGCCCTGAATTGCCAATCATACTGAACAAAAGATAAAAGGTAGTTGTTAACTTAAAAACTACTAGTATATAACACAGTGGAACAGAGCATTTTGACCTTTAGTGATATAGACTGACTAAAGTATTACTCAAATATGTTTGAGTGAAACAAAACACAACTCCAGAGTTTGTTTTTGATGATGAAACAATACTATAACATGGCTTCAAGCTTAAAATAATCAATTTTGTGTGATATAGGATCTTTAAAATTAGGGCCAGTGTGAGGGAGGTGTTACGGATTTACTTTCAAAAATATCTTTTAAATGTGAGAAATGGAGGCAGAAATCAGGTATAGAGCCTAACACGCTTCCATACATGGTTGTGAAATAAATAAAGATTTATCATTCAATCTTGTATTTTTTTAGGATGGAGAGGTCTGGAAGATGAGTGGTTGCCGTATTGGAACATGTAAAAACGGTGAAGTAATTATAGGCCACGTTCCATGTCCCATTTCTGAACCAATCATGTGCGCAAACAACTTTCCTCCAGTCAAAGTGTTCGACCATGACGACTGCTGCTGGCATTATGAGTGTCAATGTAAGTTTGAGTATCAGATGTATAAAGTAATGCATTTGCAACCACATATCCACTATTGAATGGTTGGGAGTTGATAAGAACAAGGTTTATTACCAAGTTTTTTATTTAATACCTTGGGATTTCTCAGGGGTATCAAGTTCTTTTTCCATATGTTGCAATTTTTTGATATTGCTACAGTAAACAGTGCATTTATTTCTGAGCTTTATTTAGTATTAGTTCTGGGTACTCCTGGAGCTTAATTGAAATGGTAGTTTAGGGTACTTAGACTTAAACAAATTTTACTGATCCACAAGGGAAATTATTTTGTCATAGTAGCTCACACATCATAATATATTATATAATATATAATATATAATAATAACAAAGAGCAAAAATATAAATGGTAATAATACATTCTAAATAGGCTGCAAAATAGTAAGAGACTCTACATTAACTGCTACTACAATGTAATAACAAGTGGTAGTTATAATTACACCTGGAACTTTCTTGATAACAAATTTTGAAGCACAATATTTCTCCAGAGAGAGAGACATAATTGATAATACTGAAACAGGACTCAATAACAGTAATGCAGGAAAATATCAGTAGACTGTTTTTAAATGTGTCACTTATTCAACTTCAGCTCAAATCTATTTTTATTACAACAAAATATCCCAAATCTCCCCATTTTTGCAAAGAAAAATTGTACAAACGATAAATACTAAGCTCCAAAATATGATGTTCCAGTTTTCATAGATTGAACAATAAGTAATTATAGTAATTATCGTGACGAGCTTAGTTCTGGGTGCTCCTGGTGCTTTATCAGAGTGGTAGATTTGGGTTCTTCTGGGCTTTTCTCAAGGTGGAAGTTCTAGGTATTGTTTTTTCTTGCTTTATTGGTGGGATAGTTTTGGGTATTCTTGGGTTTTATCAAAGTGGTAGTTGCAAGTAGTCCTGGGGCTTCATCAGATTGATAGTACTGGGTAGTCCTGGTGCTTTATGAGAGTGGTAGTTCTGGATACTCTTGGGGCTTTATGACAGTGGATTTGCCAGGGTGGTATATATCTGAGTGAAGAGTGAAGTGAGAAGTAAGATGTCAACACGCTAGGAAGTGTTTATGTCATCTGTGTATCTACAAAGCATGCTCTGTTACAATGACTACACTTAAACTTATGCACCAATAATTATGTTTTTCAGGTATCTGTTATGGTTGGGGACACATACACTATGTGACATTTGATGGAACATTCTACAACTTCCATGGTGACTGTTCCTACTGGTTGGTGAAGGAGGTGGTCCCCCGGTACGGCTTCAGTGTGATGATCACTAATAACAATTGTGAAGAGTCCCATGTCCACACCTGTCCTCACTCCATCACTGTCTTCTACCATCATTACAAGATCTACATGAGCCAGATAAACCACCATGGCATTGTCACCAATCTGGTAAGAAGTGGATCTCTTCGTTTGAGGTGCTTTTTCCAAATCACAAGGGCTGCAATCCCTGAAATAATAGAAAAAAAGAAAGTGGTGTAAAATAAAATATTGAAAAGTCTGGGACATATACTTCTAAAAGATAATGTTGACAATGGTTTCCCTCTTTGTTAATATAGTAATTTCTAAGCTATATGGTCCAAGTCATTTCTCTTGAGGATCAATGGAGTTTGTCTAAGACTAAATCTAAGTATAAGACAGTTAGCAAAAAGGTGCTAAAAGAGCATATTTAAATAAAAATGAAATTTGCTATGTATTTCAAATAAGGGTGTAAACAAGCACATTTCTGATTAACTGCTAGTCAGGATCATACAAAAAGTCAACTTCGTTTACATTTTTTAAAATGTGTTTTATTTGCAGATTATGGTTAACGACAAAACTGTACGCTGTGCATACCAAACTCCAATGTTTCAAATCACCACCACAGGCATCGTCACTGTGCTGGTCATTCCAAAAATAAAAGTCAAGATCACCTTCTCTGGGCTCAACTACAACATCAATCTGCCTTTCTGTCTGTTCGGCGGCAACACCCAGGGACTGTGTGGTAAGTTCCAGTCACACACTGCACTCTCCCTTTAAGAAAACTTTGGCAGGAAGGCTAGAAGAACATATCACTTCTACTTGAGAATCTTTACACTAGGTCATTTTGAGATTTTATTGTTTGTTTCTTTTAAAGCTTTGGTTAGACTGCCCCCAGGGTGCATCTTAAACCTCATACAGTTGAACTAACCATGTGAATGCTTTCAGGTGACTGTGACAATAATCGCGCTGATGACTGCACTGTGCCCAGCACTCACATACAGTCCTGTGTGGACATGGCTCATGAGTGGCACACCAACGACAGCTACTGTCCACCTCCTCCTCCACCTACTGCAATCCCTACGCCTCCTCACTGCGACTGCCCCATCTGTGACATTATCAAGAGCAAGTATGTGCATGGAAACACACAACTGTAATTTTTGTATTTATTTATTTTTTTCTAGAAAAGGGGCAACTTAAATTTATATACTGTAGTGAACTGCAAGCATCCCCAGCAAACGCACGTCAGGCTTCAAAAGGTCATAAAATATCAAGGTTCAAGGTTCAAGGTTCTTTATTTTGTCATTCAAACATGTGAGAGAAACACATGACAGTACGAAATGTGCTCTCCGAGGCCCAGTGATACAGAAAGAGATAAAAAACAATAATAATAATAATAAGCAATGTTAAAAAATAAATAAATTTAAAACAACAACATTTAGCAGTTCCAATGAACAAGTAGTAAACGTGGCAAGATAGAGAAAGAGGCAACCAAAGCAGGAAGTCAGTGTGCACTGTTCAAAAGTCTGACAGCCTCAGGAAAGAAGCTGAACTTCAGCCGAGAAGTTCTAGCTTTAATGCTCCTCAGTCTCCTCCCAGAAGGCAGAGGAACAAACAGATGGTGGGAGGGGTGCGAGGGGTCCCCCATGATCCTGGAGGCCCGTCTTCTACAACGCTCCTCATAAATTTCACTGATCGGTGTAAAGTCACATCCAGTGGTCTTCTCTGCCGCTCTGACCACACGCTGTAGAGCTTTCCTGTCCTGGGCTGAGCAGTGGCCGTACCACACTGTGATGGACTGGGTCAACACACTTTCCACTCCACATCGATAAAAAGACATGAGAGCAGGGAGACCTAGTTCAGCAGCCTTGAGTCTCCTCAAAAAATACAGACGCTGGTGGGCCTTCTTAACAATGCTCTCTGCATTAGTGGACCAAGTGAGTCTGTCGGTGATGTGCAGACCCAGGTATTTCCAGCCGGACACCCTTTCAACTTCTGTGCCCATGATGTAGAGAGGCGACAGTGAACAGCTGCTCCTCCTAAAATCCACTATTAATTCTTTTGTTTTTGAAAGGTTCAGACAGAGGTTGTTCTCTCTGCACCAGGTCTCCAACAGCTGTACCTCCTGTCTGTATGCCTGCTCGTTGTTTTCCGAGATTAAACCCACAACAGCAGTGTCATCTGCAAATTTAACAATCTGACAGGTCGGGTGAGAAGCCACACAGTCATATGTTAGCAGAGTATACAGCAGGGGGCTCAGGACACAGCCTTGGGGGTAGCCGGTGTTAAGAGTGGTTGGTGAGGAGAAGCAGCCATTAATCCTAACAGTCTGCTCCCTGTTAGTAAGAAAGTCCAGCACCCAGTTGCAGAGTGATGGTTGGAGTCCAAGCAATTGCAGTTTGTTTATCAGGGTCTGTGGTAGGATGGTATTGAATGCCGAACTAAAGTCCAGGAAGAGAAGTCGGACATATGTGTCCCGCTTCTCTAGGTGGGTGAGGGCCTGATGGACAACAGCCGCCACTGCGTCAGATGTAGACCGATTCTCCCTGTATGCATACTGATGAGAATCCACACTATATATTAATACTAATATATTCACTACCCTTTTATCAACCCAAAGTGTGCACAACTGGTAATCCCCCAGGTAAGTGGTACCAAGCAATCCAGGCTCAAGATCTTAAGACAGATCCTGGAGCTCACTGCCCCTGACAAGAGTCCTCAGTGCCACTGGTTGAAGAATGCATTTCCCTCACGAGAAATTATATATTTTTACCTTATATGCATTAGGTTTATTTTATTGTGGAAAAAAGATCCAGATTTTAATTAATTTTTATATTATTATTTTTATATAGGTCTTTACAAATACACTAGCAATTTCACTTAGTAGTATATATCATAATTGCTAAGCATAAACAAAATTAATATGTAGTTTTTTTATGTATGTGCTGTATCTCATATTTGAGTATGATATTTTTTATAGCTATATTTATACAAGGCTTGTACTGGTATGCTGTTTCTACTGTGATGATTATTCTTTTGCTCCTGTTGCTCCTCAGTGTGTTCCAGCCTTGCCACGGTGTGCTGGACTACCATATCTTCATTGCTGCCTGTAGATTTGATGTGTGTACTACAAATGACCGTCACATGGCTTGTCTGAGCTTACAGGAGTACGCTGCCGCCTGTGCTCAGGCTGGAGTGTGCATCGACTGGAGAAGTGCCACACATGGGCTCTGTGGTATGCATTCACATCATCACTACTGTAGTCACTGTCAGAAAACTGCTCCTCTACTACTTGTGTAACAGCATGAAACAAAAACTGCTGTCTTCATGGTCAACACAAATAAGTGGATAGTGGTACCGTTATTCAACTTATTATTTATATGGCTAGTTTGTCAGACCAGTCTCCAACAATAATAATATTTGTAGAAAACAGCAAATGCCCTTTAGAGCTAGACAGAGATAGATTCATACCTACCATCTGAAATTATACTTTTTTTTTTCAGTTTTAAAACATGAATATAAACTATAGTTTAAAATTGAGCGTGACGGCTGGTCAGAATTCTTTGGTATAATTTGCTTTTCAACTAACAAAATGGTGGCAGGTGTTTTGACCTGGTTTATGTTTAATATCTTTGTCATTACTGACTCTACCCACATGAATTATCTTGGCATGTCTCGCCTTGCCATCTGTGAATGTAGATTACCACTGTTCCAGTCCCAAAGTGTATGAAGCCTGTGGTCCCCTGGTGGAACCCACCTGTGACTCCTGGTAAAGTACCACCCTCTCTCACTCTGCTTGACACTAGCCACTGGTAATGTTTACATGCACACCAAAAATCTGATCATTATCTGATTTCTGGAGTTGTCAGATTATTGAAATGTCATGTCAAGAGTTATATCTGATGTGAGTAATCTGATTTCTTTCTGACTGTTCACACCTGTGCAGGTTTTGACAAATGGTGTCCGTGATGCTCAAAAGGAGTACTAAGAAGTTTTAAAACTAGTATCTTACTTGTTTTTAAAGTTTAATGACTCAGATTTCTCTTGTTCATGTAAACACACATGAAATCTGATCTAATTATTTTAGTTAGGTGATTTTTGCTAGCCATTGTAATTGTACTCAGTGAGATCCATGTACTAAAATTGGTACAAAACACAAGTTGACTCAGTGTTTGTGTGTTACAGGTTTAATCACAAGTTCATCTACACCTCAAATGACTTCACAACAATGATATTAAACCAGAGGATGGAGGGCTGCTACTGCCCCAATGGTACCATACTGCTGTCAGCTTACTCCAACGAGTGTGTGCCCAGCTGTGGTGAGCCGCACTCTGCTTCATTTCATGTGACACACTTTCATACCAGTCACAGTACTGGTACATGACGGGCTAATATTCTTGTTTTTTTTTTTTTTTATTGCAAACAGAAATCTGCCGACTACCAAATGGAAAATGGGCAAAAGTATGTTATTTCATTTATTTTAAATATCTTAGTAAAACACACTTGAATAGCTGTTATAAAGCATGAACAAATACTTAATTCATAATGAACAAATACTTAATTAACGGCTCTGTACCTGATTTCTTTCTTCTTATTTGAGAAAAAAAATCCCAGTACAGATAAGTTGTATTAGCAAAATAAGTCAGCTGCATGCTATCTGTATCTAATCTAAAGCGCTTTATTGTCCGATAATCAGAAAGTGTGGATTAGCATGCTAGTTGTTGTTAACTTTACTGTAGGTAAGCAGGTACAGCACCTTTAAGAATGATTCAGGCTTAGTAATTATTAATACTAACCCTAACTCCAAAGTCCTAACCCCTTGATTAGTTACTAAGCCTGTATCATTCATTTAAAAAAGTTCATTATGAATTCAGCTTTTATTCAAACTTTATTAATGCTAATTAAAGTGTTGTTATCACAAAAAGTTGTACCAATATATCTGAACTGGGGAGTAACTGTTGTTGTTCGACAGGCCAATGCCACGTGGACGGAGGGCTGTGAGCTGTGTCGCTGTGATGAGGACACTCTCCAGGTGGTGTGTGTGGTGAGGCCGTGCCCCCGTCCGCACCCCCTCCTCTGTGAGCACGAGGGTCAGGTACTGGTCACTGACATAGTGGACTGCTGCCCCAGACACAGATGTGGTAAGTCACACATCACGTTTATCACAAATGTTTGAGTGCATATGACAAATTTTATTAAAATATAGTCAACATCATTACTTTTAAGCTTTAACAAAATGCCTATTTATTTTTTTTATTTTTTTTTGTGAAGTTTAACGATTTGGCTTCTGTTTGGACACAAGCAGCAGATCTGACACATGAATGTAATGCCATAACCATTACCTAGCAGCCATAATGCTAACAAGGGCAATATTATTATATATATAATATATAAATATATCATATTTATCTTGTTTTTGTCTCTTCATTTTATATATATATACATATATATATATATATATATATATATATATATATATATATATATATATATATATATATATATATATATATATATATATATATATATATATATATATATATTATTATATTTATTTTTTTTTTTTTTTTTTTTTTTTTTACTTTTCTTCTCAACTTGCTCATAAAGCCACTTAACTGATGTAAAACAATGTATTTACCACAGGTCCTATCCCATTAAACCAAATCATAATTAAAAAAAAAGTGTCATGTGCACTTTTAAGTAATAAAATCAAAGACAGTTTTTTTTTTCTTTAAAGTACAACTGAGCTCTGATGTTCTGTGTCTCTTATTAGAATGTGACAAGTCTCTGTGCACCAGCCGAGTGCCTTTATGCCTTCCTGGAACAATCTTAAACACAACAGTGGGCGTGTGCTGTGACAAATATGTCTGTGGTGAGTACCTCTTCATGCTTTCTTTAATATCATTACTGTGCACTATGTAACTTTTCTGGTGGGGATCTGCTTCCTGCTCCACGGTGATGTGCTTTGTCTAGAATGTTCCATTCTACAGCATTATATCTTTTATTCAATACAGGTGTTTTTATTGCAAAGAAATGCTAGTTAAAAACATGCATTCTTACAATTTATTACCATACTTTACTGTAAAAAATACTGACCGTCCAATTATTTTGCAGTGCCTAAAGACGTGTGTGTATTCAACCACCATGAGTATCAGGTAAGCATGAGCCCTCAAATAAAATGGCTCCCTTCCTTCTCCCCTGTACCAGCAGCATTTAGATTATTTCACTTACCCCTATATCCCAGAGGTCCTTGGTATTGCTCATTAAACACATTCACAAGGTATTTTGTATTAGCAGAGACTATTCAAATTTTTATTTTGTTTCATCTGTGACTTATCATGATTTAGATCCCTAATTTTCAAGTGTGTATTTTTAGCCTCGTGTATGTAGCTTATAGAGTTGTGTTTTCAAGGTTGGAGAGGTAGTCCCCAGAGGCCCATGTGAGAGGTGTGTGTGCAGTGAAAAGAGGGACCCTATAACCTTACTGCATCTGCTGGACTGCCACCCACTGCCCTGTGACACCTACTGTGCTCCTGTGAGTACCACACAAGGGCATCTGAAGTGCACAGAGGAGGGTACTACCACTGGTGGAAGAGAATCGAAATTTTTACTTAAGTAAAAGTGCTGGTACATTGCTAAAAATGCGGTCAGTTACAAATATAAGTAAGTAAGCTAAAATTACACATGATTACAAATGCTACTCAAAGTGCTAGTACTACAAATCTTGCTTGATTAATTAAACAATTTTAAAACCACAATCCACATATTCTCTGAAGAGAGGGAGTTTTTTTTTTCCACCCAAAAAAACAGGATCTACCTATTAAAGTACTGTGTGTGCATGTGTGCGTGCGTATGTGTGTTTGTGTGTGCAGGGTTACGAGTACCAGCTGGTCCCAGGACAGTGCTGTGGGAAGTGTGTCCAGTGCAGGTGCTTTGTTACCGTGGGAAATGTCTCCCACACTCTACAGGTCAGTTTCAGGGTACTTACCATTAAACTATAACATACTTAGATGGTTCTTTTACATTTTACTCATTGTAAACCATAATAATGATCTAAAACAGCGTATTAATAGAACCGTGTCCCCTAACTTCCAGTTTGAAACTGGATCATGTATGCATTTTTATTGTTGAAAAACAGCCCAAATAATTTTTCTTTTTTATTACACACATTAATCAGTCCAGACTCTGGGCACCAACAGGAGACTGTCCCTGTGGTTCTCAGAGTATGATGGTTCACTTGGCTCTACATATATTACGGCAGACTTACGACACAGTTGGTATTGGCTTGGAATCTAATAACAAATTCTTCATTAAATATGTACAGATGTATAAATACACCAGTAAAGTACAATAATTGAAAATGTGATGCCTGTACTTGCAATTTTAGTGGAGCTCTTAGTCTCAAAGTAAAAAAAAAAGTGATATAACTCATGAGTAAAGTTAATAAATGTACTTCTATTTCTGCTTAAACAGCTTATGCACATCAAATATTTACATTCAAACATATCCGTAGAGTGATGTAGTGTAGCTGTGACAACAGAAGGCGCTGTTCCCTGTCGCTCACATGTGTCTGTGTTCAGCCTGGAGAGCAGTGGAGCCCTGATGGCAATCCTTGTGTGAAGTTTGAGTGTGTCCGCATTGGAAACCAGTTCCTGACCGTGGAGTCCAAGATAATGTGCCCGCCCTTTGACCCCCAGGACTGCATCCCGGTAACTCACCACTCACCTAAACACAACTATGAAAACAAAATATATTAACTGTATGTAAGTTTTTACTTCAAAATTGCTTTAATATGATATAACTGTACCCCCAGAGTTGAGGTAAACAAGTTCAAATCAAGTACAGCCTTTACTGATAACAACTGTAATGCTGATTATTCTCAAAAACATTGGATATGATGGCAAAGTTGATTATGTTACAAGGGAGCTCAACAGTCTCATGCACTTTGAAGTCTGCTCTGGCCAGAGAAGAATATTTTCCTTTCATTTTTAACCAGCTATGTGCTATCTAATATCCTTAATAATGTTGTTTAATTTTAAATCCAAAAAGCACATTTAAAATCCATAATGCTGTAACATGTTTAATAACTTAGGGGTTTATAAAGTTTCAGAAACAGATCTGATAAAATTGTGGTCATGTTTTTTTTTTTTTTTTTTTTTTTTTATTGGAAAGTCTATGAGAAAAATGAATGGGAAATGTACCTCTGGAGCCAGCGATCTCTGTTAAGCTCCATTTAATACTTTGGTTCTCAAGATGATATCCAATCAGAGCCTCACAAGTTTCTCATTTGAATTGCCAGTTTCAGTGCAGAAGCCCAGCTGGTTTAAACCTCAAAGGACTCTCTGTGATTTAAATCCTCACTACCTGACCTCCAGCCAATCATTAATCAATGCCTCTGCTGCTGCACTATATGCTGTCCATTAAATGTGTCTTCTATACAGGCTAAAACACTGGCAATCCTCATTCAGAAATCCCCAAAATAAATATTGCTTTTTAATACATGCCCTAGTTTGTCAGCACTTTTAACTAAACTTTTCATAAGCCGTTTAGCTAATATTTGAGGAGTTTCACAAGCTAACCATGAGCCAACAGTGTGTTAGTCATACCACATTTAAACTTTTGATTATAAAGTCGAAGCGAACTTTTACTAGTTTGTTCAGGAAAGGTCCATCGTTGTCATATTTATGTGATTTTTGTATTTGGTATTTAGGTTTGATACTACTTTTAAATGGGTATTATTTTTACAATCTGAGTTCAGTTCTATCTCGCTGCTCTGTAATCCATGAGTTTCAGAATAACGACAAAAAGCGATAACTGTCGCCATAGTGATAAACCATTTTAAACTTAGATATTATGTGCTTTTGAAAAAATGTTGCATATAATAGGAAGCTGAAACCCATGAATAGTCCCATGTAGTTTTCAGATATTTGATAAATACAAACATATTTTATATATATTTATTATCTCTCTCTCTGTCTTTTTAGGGAACTGAAACTGTTGCCTCTGATGGCTGCTGTCGAGTTTGTAAGTGATACTGTTATTAAATCAAAAAGCTGTTTACCTCTCAAATATATTTATATTTCTTTATTCTTCACTGAACAACTTTTGAAATTTGTTTTATCAATCCAAACAGTCCTACTCTCAATATAGCATGTATCTCTCAAACTGCATTCACAGGACTATAACTGCACAGGCAAAAACAAGTATTTATGCTAAAGTATTAGGAAACAGTGTATTTATATGAATACAGATTAAACATGCAAATCATGAGTTCAGACTGCCTTTTTACATATAAACACCAAAACATACCAAATCTCCAGCTAATTCACTAACTTCATGCTGTCGTCTCATATAATTCTTTATAATCTAAATAAAATGATTAGTTAATTAAAACGGTAGACTCTATAAATAAATATGTATATATTATATATTATATGTGTATATACAGTCTATGATTAAAACACATTTTGGTGTAAGAAGTCTAGAGATGACATTCACAAAGTACTGTGTTCTTACTTAGGTCTGAATGTGTGTTTTTCCAGGTATCCTTCGAGGTCACCCATGCACAGTGACCACCTCTTCTATGGTGCTGGTGCGCAAGGGCTGTAAGTCTACAAAGCCAGTCAACATGACATCCTGCAGCGGGGCCTGTGGAACGTTCACATAGTAAGCTCCTCTGCATCCTTTTCATCATCTACATCCTCTGCTCTCACACCCTTATCCTCATTGGTCTTCCTCTACGCTTGTTGTGTCCTGGTAGCTTTAACGTCATTACATATCATAACATCTCTCAATTCACTGTCCTTCTTTTGTACATATTATTGTTGTCACAATACTAAAATTTCAAACTCAACACTAAGGAATAGACTCGATGCACAATACCAATTCTACCACAATGAAAAAAAAAAAAAAAACACTCTTTCTTTAGACAACAGAATGTCATTTTCAGCAGCATTAAAACATCTTTACCAAGTTGTCTTATACTCAGGTAGGTTCCATAGTGGTCCATGGGAGTATACCAGTCTTTGTGCACTTATACTTGTTCTGATACAGCTCAAGACCATTCTAACTATTCTCAGGAAAGGTTCATTTCTGTCCTGAGAATGTGACTTTGTTAGTAGTATGGTATTATTCAACAATCATAGTTTTATTGTTCTCAAAATATGTTCAAAAATACTTAAAATAAATTTTTAAGTGGTTATTTCAGTACTTTTAAGTAGATTTTTTGATGTGATAATTGAAATGAGGTTGTGTTTTGTTTCATTCACACATTTAACACACAAATCCTGGATATTTAGTCTGAGTTCTTTCCTCAAACTGAAAACACTGTTCCACCTTGTGATGTCATGGTAATACAGGAAGTGCTCCACTGCATTTAAACTCTGTACACCTTCACTAGAATTATTTGGATAATTTTAGCCTTGGAATTGCCAATCTCTACTGAACAAAAGGTAACTGCTTTGTGACACCACCACAAGTTGGAACAGAGCATTTTGAGTTTTGTAGATGACTAATAATGCATGATTGCTCAAACATGTGAATGAAACAAAACACAACTCCAGGTTTGTTTTTGATGAGGTAACAACATTATAACATCAGTTTTGCACCAGTTTAGCATAATATGGGATATTTAAGTAATTCCTGAATTCCCATATCTAACTATACTTTTACTCAAATAAGAAAATTGAGCACTGTTATTCCCCCAATGAGAAATACAATTTGAGACTTCCCTTGCCACTTCTCTCACTTCCGCCTCTCCTTACGTTGTTTTGCAGTTACTCTCTGAAGACACACTCGCTGCAGTACTCTTGCTCGTGCTGCCGTGAAGTGAGCACCACCCAGAGAACGGTGGCGCTGCTGTGTCCGGACTACTCCCAGATCCCCTACACGTACACCCACATCGAAGCCTGTGCCTGCCTTAAGACCACCTGCTTTATGGTGGATCACAGGCTGCCCTACGACAACCACCACACCACCACCCCTTTCACCCCCATCACCCAAACCTTAAAACCTTTCATCCGATCTGTACGGAAAAGATAGCAAACCTTCTTTTTTTTTTTTTAATAAAGTCCTTTTTTGTGCAAAAGTTTTTCCGGTTCTTTGTTGAAATTTTACATAGGTACTGTAACTGATCCTGATTATTCACTGTGATGAGTTCTTTTCTCAACTTTGATTACCCTGCTAACAGCGCCCCAGCCTTACTTCCTGGATTGTAGAGGATAAAACGCTTATAATGAGATGCAGGCAGCACACTACGGGTATCATTTCAACTCTAAGAATGTATGTCCTGAAAAAAGAGAGTAAAGTTTTAACAAATATACATTATTTAAACACACTTAGCTATTTCAACATATGTCTGACCGGTTTTGCATTTCAAGGCTAACATTTTCTATTACACTTAAAATAAGAAAGAAACAACACACTAAACTTTAAATTACGAAACAAATTATAACATTTGATTGACTTGTATGAAGTGACATAAAAACTAATTTAAAACAAGTCTTAAACACTCAAAGAATTGTATTAATTTATGTCCAATTATGTCAAAAAGTATTCTCAAATTCAGTGAGTTATTATCACATAAGAGGAGGTATTTGTTTTTGCGTAAGGCCTGCCTGCATAACGCACAGGAAAATGCAACCACGTCATGAGCTTCATTGTTCTACTTCTACAAACATATCTTTTAATGATATCACATTAGTCCCACCTTCAATTTAATACTTTGCAGCTGATCAACAACAACATTCCCTTGGGTTGTGAAGCTAAGTGAAGGCACTACTCTCTTACAAGATCTGTTACTTAAATTAGTCTTAATCTGAGAATTCTTTGAACACAATCTGACCAGAAAGAACTGACATGGTAGGAACAAGAAGTCTCTCACACATAAAATTATAGTTCTTTATAGAACCATGAATGCTCGTATTTATCACAGACTCCTGAAAATGTGTTGTTTAAAGTAATTTAGCATTTTTTCTTGAGTTTTCAGACCATCTTAAAAATGCGGGCAGTTAATTAATTTTATTTATTTATAACTAGGACAGTGCATATTGACCAACAGTGCAAATGCATAATATGCCAGATAATCAAGAGGCTAGTCTCCGTATGTGGTCCTTTGCCACATGTGCAGAAGGAACCCTAGAAAGTTTTTGCTAATGTGTGCACTGTTTCACCATGGTAACTGTTAAACATTCCGCTACAGAGATACATGTAGAACACCCCCAGCATGATTTCACTGCAAAGTATCAATTTATAAAAACAGATAAAGTTAGTCGAGATTTTACTATCTATATCTATATCTATCTATCTATCTATCTATATCTATCTATCTATCTATATCTATATCTATATCTATCTATCTATATATATCTATATCTATATCTATCTATATATATATATATATATATATATATATATATATATATATATATATATATATATATATATATATATATATATAGATAGATAGATAGATAGATAGATAGATAGATAGATAGATATAGATATATACACATATATGCAAATATCACTACTACCAATTAATTTGCAAATTTAACGCACATATTTTCATTGTTCAGATCACCTTCACAAACAGCATAATGGACTGATCCATCTCTGTCAGGTGTTCTGTTTGTCATTTGAAGCCTAAAGCCCCTTTTTTAAAATTTCACCCATAAGTTATTAACTATCGGCCTTGATATAGGGGGAAAAAAAGTACCCCAAAAGTTGTTTTAGTAGTCGAGAATGATATTGTTGATCTTTTCAGTTCACTAACACAAATTTATTGCTACTCTTTCCACTATTGATTGTCAGTATCAAAACATCCAGCAGAACAGATTTACATATTACTTAAGAATACACTATAAATTTTCTGGTGGAATATTTGCCCCTGCTGCATGGCTTCATGGATTCTCTGATTCTTCTTGCTTCTTGCTTATTGCTTTGCCAGGAATGTTCGAAAATATGGCATTAAACGTATATATCTTGTATTTATTATAATTCAATAGGTTCTTGCTGTAAACACCTTTTATTGTGAGCAGGATCACCTCTCTACAGATCTGACCCGTAACTTAGTCTTGAGGAATCACTAGCTCTTCTTTATGGACACACAGACAAGTTTAGTGTCATGCTGTGGAACATTTTTCGACCCACCATAACACACATGTAATGATTGAAGGACTTATGTTACGCTATTTTCTGGTCTACATTAGATACTGTTGTTTCCTCATATTAAAGTTGTGGAGTTGTGTTTTGTTTCATTCACATGTTTAACACACAAACCCTTCATATTTAGGCTGTGTTCTTCTCTCACACGTGTTTTTGAACTTAATACACCTTCACTAGAATCATTTGGATTATTTCAGCCCTGGAATTCTCAGCCTCTACTGAACTAAAAGTAAAAAGAGCTGTTAATTTGAAATCTACTTCTACATGACATCACAAGGTGGAACAGAGCATTTCAAGCTTTGGAAATGTAGACAGGCTAAGAATAAAACTCAAAACTGTGTGAATGAAACAAAACACAACCCCAAGTATGCTTTTGATGAAGTAACAATATTATAACATGGTTTAAACCTCACAAAAGTCAACTTTGTGTAATACAGAATTTTTAATATTGCAACCTTATATGTTTGTAGGTCACAGAAAGTAGAAAAGAAGATGTTGGTGTGCTAATGACCAAAGAAACACGGATCTTCCTCTGATCTGTCCCCCGCCACCGCACAGGCGTCTTCTGAGCTAGTACCAGCCCTAACCGCATCCTGGTCTCAGTTTACCTCCCAGAGACACTATTTGCGCAGGATACAAGAGATTAGGAGCCACTAGAATCTGTGACAAAGCCATACTGAGCTCCTTGTCAAACAAACACTCCCTGACACTGTGCCTATGGGCAAAACACTACAAACACAAGAGCGCCTCCACCTTCTGAGTAATTTCCACATGCGTCAGCTACAGAGTAAGAGTGGTGACAAATAATTAATAACTAAAACACATAGAGGACAGCAGGATGTGGCTAAAAGTGCAGATTAGACTCCTCATTTTACTAAAACACATCTAAGGTCATTCTCTTTACATTTTTTGCAAAAACTTTCACACCTATTTTCCCAATTTGGCCTTAACATTTTATTTCAGAAATCATGACATCACAATAGGGAATTCCATAACTGTTACCTAGCAAAACTCCTCAAACATAAATTATTATCAGACAAATATACAAATAAGAAATTTTATATACTTTGTTGAAATATTGTACCTTACGTGTAATTTGTGCTGAAATTTGAACATAATTCTCTCTAATGTGATGTCATCAATATGCATAAAACTCTCTAATTCCTGTCATTTTCAACATATTTTTCAGCTTTTCTTCACAAATTGCTTAATTGAATAATCAGTCTGTGCAAAATGCTTGTTAAAATAATCCATGATTTTTGATTTGTCAGTGATAACTACACCATCAGTTTTGATCACTGAGGGTAAACGAGGAGATGTGTTCTTGTTTTCCATAGCCTTTAATGTACTCCAAAACATCTTTGAGTCTGTATTACTGGCAAGCAATTGTTCTTTAAAATGAGTAACTTTAGCCTTTCTAATAGCCTATGTGGATTTATTTCAAATTGCTCTATAGGTCTGCCAATCAGAATGCCCATTGGAGGGTTTAGCTTTTTTGCCAAAGATAATGTTTTTGGTGGACAAGCTCAGATAGGTCTGGCCTAAACCAGGGACTGTGTCTATTTTTTATTAGAATTTTTTAATGGGGCTATGTTTGTCCATAATTGTTATAAACAAGTGTTTGAAATATTTCCAGGCATCATCAACATCAGGAATCAGGTCAGTCCTGTGCCATTTAACTTGGGCGAGATCAAACAGAAATGTTTGTTCATTAAAATTTTTTAATAACTGTTTAACTCTAACTAAGGGGGGCTTCTAGAGTAGTGCTCTTGTGCACACATGCTATAGTACAATGGTCACTTAAACTTTGGCAGAACACACCTGAGACATACTTGTGAGCTCTATTGATGAGAATAACATCAATCAGTGTCCCAGTGTCCATAGACTTGGTATTGTATCTGGTGGGGCTCATCACAATTTGGGAAAGGTTGAGTGTGTCTAACTGTAACTGCACTGATGGTAGATGGTCAAGCATATCCCAGTTCAGATCCCCTAGCAGAATGAGTTTGGAGGTGACATGGGGGGCAATCAGCTCACTAATTGCGGTTAGAGCACAGGCAGGTGCAGATGGAGGTCTGTAACAGGCAGCCATAGTAATAGAGAAGTTTTTTACAGGGTAATCTTCATGATAATCAGCTCAAATTGCTTGGCAACAGATTTGGCTGCTAAGACTGAACACAGCAAATTAACTTTAGAATAGATGGCTACCCCACTCCCTTTGGAATCTGGCAACTACAGAGTCAGGGGTGGATTTCTTGAGCCAGGTTTCAGAGATGACTAATATATCAGGGTTTAAGGTGTGGACATAAGCAGTCAGTTTTGCGATTTTGGGGCACAGGCTACATATGTTCAGATACAAAAACCCTAGATGTTTACGATCACAGAAGGAGTCAAAGGATAATTGCTCCCTGACTGGACTGTGTGTAGGGCTGTGAGAAGGTAAGCTGTGATCAGGGCCTGGATTGGGTTGAATGTTTCCACATATGAGCAGCAGGAGGATGATAAGACCCCTATGCTTAAACAGTTTACAACTGCCAAACACCTTAATCTTGCATCCCACAGAATGGTGAAATGGCATTAAAATAACATTAAGACACTCAGGATGGATCTTATCCATCCCCAGAGCCTTGCTACCAGGAGTTTGCACACCACCTCAGTGACCAGCCAGGGTGATGGACGAGTCCACCTCCAAGCCCCCATCCTCTGCTTCCTCACAGTATTCTTTCCACCATCCAACAACATCCCCAGTCGAGGTCAACAGCACTCCAACCGCACTGTAAGTATTGTTGGTGAAGCACTGCTTCCCACTTCTGAGGCGTAAAACGGTTTGCCAGAATTTCTTTGAGGCCAACCAATAGTCCTCCTCCATGGCCTCTCTGAACTCCTCCCAACCAAAAGTTTTTGCCTCTGCAACCGCATAGGCTGCAGCCCACTTGGCCCGCCGGTACCTGTCAGCTGCCTCAGGAGTTGGCAGGAACAGCATCCCTTACTGTCCCCCGCTGGGTTTGTGGATTGCCACAGCGACAGGCACCACAGACCTTATGACCACAGCTACGAGTGGCCGCATCGACAATAGAGGCTGAGAACATAGCTCACTCGGACTCCATGTCTCCAGCCTCCCCCAGGATCTTGGAGTTCTCCTAGAAGTGTGAATTGAAAGACCCCCTCACAGAGGGCTCTGCTAGATGTTCCCAACAGACCCTAACGATACACTTTCTGTCTGCCAGGTCTTTCCAGCTTCCTCCTCCGCCAGGGGCCCCAACTCATCACCAGGTGGTGATCGGTTGACAGCTCTGCCCTACTGAAGGTCAAATGACACAACGACAAAGTCGATCATCATCATAGTTTATCTGGGTGAACTCCAGCAACTGGCAGCTGAGTTGTGCCACCACTCACCGCTGGCAACACAAAATGGAGAGTCCAGCCCCTCTCAAGGAGTTAGGTTCCAGAGTCCATGCTGTGCGAGGAGGTGAGGCCAATTATATCTAGTCACTAGTGCTCAACCTCCCGCACAAGCTCAGGCTCCTTCGCCCCCAGCGAGGTGACATTCTCCAGAGGCAGTTTCCATGTTCAGAGATCCAAACATCAAAGCCCCTACCTCTGACTGCTGCCCAGATGTCTTTGCAACTGCCCCTTACGGGTCCTCCTACGGGTGGTTGGTCCATGGGACGACGGTCCCATGTCACTCTTTCAAGCTGTGCATGGCCGGAGAGGTCTGGCCACCAGACATTCGCCGTCAACTGCCCACCTCAGATCTGGCTCCAGGGTGGGGCCCGGTGACACCAATCCAGACGATGTAACTGGCCTCTGTGTAGTACTCATCATAAGGGGCTTCTGAACGTAGTCTGAATCGACCCCCAGGATCTGTTTACCTTTACTTATGTATTAGTACATGGCCAGAAACCACGAAACCCAGACAGTGACAGCGTGCCTAACTAGTCCACCTAAATCATGGAGCACAATAGCTTGGGGTTGGTTAGTTTTAAGTTTGATTGTGATGTTCATGTCAGTTATAAGTACTAGGCTTTGTCTCTCCACTCAACTGGGATCCATCAGTCTGTATTAGAATCGTGTGATCATGTGGTGGACAGGACTTTTCTATGTAAGTTTGCATGTTCTAGCTGTGTGCATGTGTGTGTGTGTGTGTCTGTGTGTTGGGGGAAAGCCGGGGGGTGGGGGGTTACATAATGTATTAAACTGAAATTGCAATTGTTTGAGTTACATAATTTCCTCTACAGATAACAAAATATTATGTCTAATCATATGAAAAAACTTTGATCCAAATCTTACAATCTTACAATTAAAATATAAATTGAAAATCTAATCACAACATACAGTTTTTCCTAAATAGTTCAGCCAAACTTTGAAGGAGACTATAGACTATAGACACAGTGTGGAATTTGATGTTACATAATTTCAGAATGAGAGCACAGGCCTATGTAACTCTGTGGAAGATTTGTTGTGTTTGAAAGAAATATTCAAACTTATGATGTAAATGTTGAACCTTATTATTATTTGGTAGAGACTGGCTACACAAATATGTAATCTTAAAGTTCTTTCAACTCTCAACACATGGACCTATTGCAAAGGACACATTTCTCTACTGCAAAAATAAATTAATATATCATATATAATTATTACAATATTTGAAATGATACAGTTTTTAAACAAAGGCATTAAGCTGGACCTGTTCAATGTATTTACCAGCTGAGACATTATAGTGTTTGAGTTTGTGTGCCTATGTGAGTCGTGCAAATGGGAAAGATTAGTGAGAGATTTGGTGTCACTAGAAAAATCACAAAGGTTTTCTGCATCTGTTTGCTGAAAAGATAGTGGCAAACCTCTGGACAGAAGGCTCCCTAGCAAAATGTGGTGCCTGAGCAGTGGGCACAGCAGGGGGGGACACCAGCAGGGCTCATGGGTGAGAGTGAGGATCCCTCAGTAAGCAGGGCCCTCAGAGTACAGGGGCATTCAGAGCGCAGGGAGCTTCATGAGTGGATTGATGATTAATCAAAGACTCTTGCAGCATTCCCTCACGTCTGTGAGCTAAAAATAAATTTATATGAAATAGTAATACAAATGCAGCCTAGAACTTCTCTCTCTCCATTCAAACACAAGGATGAGGAAAAGGTGACTTCGGGGAGTTATTTTTTGTGCACACCTAAGGCTACAGGTTCAAAACCCAGGTTATTCTTACTGAATATTTCTTATATTTGTGCAGGGAGAGTTTATGCTGTGCTTTTGGGCAGACTTACACAGTCTCACAGAGACATGTACAGAGCAGGAGGATGTGGATCCTGCTCCAGCAGGTGTGGTGCTTAATGTGCTGCACTGCCACACACGCACACACGCACTTACATATATAAACATAGCCACACACACACACACACATACACACACACACTTACATATAGGCACACATGTACTTACTTGCACATGCACACACATACACACAGTTATTGAATCAGAATATCATGACATAATGATATCTTGATCCTTATGGCTTTTTGTGTGCTTATGTCCTTTTTTATTTTTGTATGTGTAGACTTGAGCCTCCTTCCCCTTGGGCTGCCTGTGAAACCCCTGCAGGAGCACTGAGTGGTCAGGAGAAGAGAGGTGAGGGGTTGAGGGGTGAGAGGTGGAGGGATGTTTTTGGTGTTTGCAGGATGTTCTATCCGTGGGCGAGCCCACAGTACAAATACTACATTGTACATAATTACACATAATTAATTATAAGAAAACAGTGTTGATATTGGCTAAGGCACTGCCGGAGATCACACAAACTGGAGCCTTGTCGTAGGACAGGCATTGTACAACTGTATGATTCCTGACACTTCCAGTAGTAAACTGTAGGCATGGTGACCTCTTGTTTCTCTTAGTTTAAGATGGTCGCCTTCATTCACTTGTCACCCTGGGAGGACCTGTCTCCTGTCACATGACACACTGCTTTTCACTGTATTCGCATCAGCTCATGAATACTGACTGTGGTGGTTGTACTGGGTGGGTTTCAAATTCTAGAATGTGATGATTCCTCCCAGATCCCAGACATGCCACTTTTCCTTATTGATTACATTGTACTTTTCCATGAAATATCCAAAAGGTAAATTCACAAATGCTGAAGCTGATCGTTTCTATTCGTGACTAGACCCAAGAACTCACAGTATTATAACACAAATCTGCTTTTTAACTTTATTCATTTTACCTGCCCCATCTGTATTAAAAAATGCCTTTAGAACATTAGAACCAAAGCAATGTAAAAGCCTTATACCTGTGAAGGGATAAGAAATGAAATGTTGAAATGGTGATAACAAAAGAACCCCAAATACATTTTTTAAAAATAGAAGTATTAGATATTAGTATTGTATGTGACAGAGCCATGCTATTGAGTGATGGGATTGTACAGTGCTGCTGTGAACCTTGGTGTGGCTGCTCACTGTCCATGACCCCTCCCCTTTATCTTATACTTATTTAAAGTACCTGTACTCACACTGTGTCTTTTCAGATCTGCTCTATCCAGGGCCCAACATGGGGACCATACTGTGGCTCCTCTCCTTGACCCTGCTCCCAGGGGCCCTCACTCAAATTGGTAACATTTTATCTTTTTATATAATAATGTAATATTGGAAAGTATTATTATAGAAGTGCTGATCATTTTACGTAAAGTCTTTATCATGTAAAAGATGTAAAAGCTCTAGATAAAATTGTTGTATATGTATAATGATAAGACATTTTTTTAAATGTAGCATGTTTTGATTAGTCGTGTCATGATTTTTATACATTTTTTAGGTTGGTTAATGTAATTTTTCTCACATGCACTTGTAAAGCTGTATAGGCACGTTGCAGTCATCTAATTATTGATTTTGAATCCTGTCCTCCATCTCGCTTCTGCATCTTCCTCTCACATCAACTATTTCATGTCCTTTTTCATGTCTCTCCATGTTTTTTTTTTTTTTTAATCTTAAATTTTTCTCTTGTTTTCTTTTTGGTTAGTTTATTCTCTCAATATAAGGTGTCATGTAGAAGCAACATAGTCTAATCTGCACATAAATATCTTTGTATTATTTACTTTATTTACTTGCATCCACAGATTTTTATGGGATAATGTGACTTCAAATGCCGTTTCTTTGAAATACACAAAGATCACACCTTAAAGTACTACCTACATACATCAGACTTTACTTAAGATTTTGATAGATACAGAAAAATTTGTTGATTTCAATTTCTAAACCAGATTATTTTTAACACCAATTTCCAATAATGTCTAATTTACTCAAATCCAAAATCTCCTCTTTAATTTTAATCTCACAGATAAAAAATTAAACAAAAATATTTAAACATGGCTCTATCAATTTTTCAGATTCAAATGTCCCAAATATGTGCAATTTGGTCATTTTTTTCAAATAAAACTCCTATTAAAAGTCCACATAAAACTACTTTTTTTCTTATAAATGTATAGTCTATAAGTAATCTTCAGAAGTAGAAGATTTAGCAGTGAATATTTTTTTATTTATTTATTTATTTTGTATCAAGACCGCACTGCAGAGTCTTAGTTTTAAAAAATAGACAATGAAATGTGTAAGGTTTTGTGCTGTGTTTGCTGGTGACTGACTGAAGCCTCTCTGGTTTTCCACAGTGACAATGGCGCCGACCACTCAGACTTTTAACACAGGTGAGCAAATTGAGTCAAATGGGTTTCAATTTTGATATCACAGACATAAACAAGACATAGGTTGCTTTAAAGCCATGTCAGTGCCATGTATCACAAGAGTTTTTCCTCCAAAGGCTGAACTCCAAACCACAATACTTTTACCACCAAGACCCTAGTCCATCATTCTATTCAAAAAATAAAAAAAAAAAAATTATATTAGTTTATTTATATTCTGGCCTATTGTAATTCTGACTGCCACAGAAGTCTTTCTACACCTAAGATCTATTGCCTGTGGTTTCTAGAGCAGATAAAAATAAAATGAGCATCTGAGAACTACCATTTCAGAAGGCCACAGAAAATATTCTAACCTTCCTTCAAGGCCTCTAGATTTAGGCCCCTGCACATAAAAGTGCAAAACAGCAAACACCTGATCTCATGTAATGTGTGGGAAAAAAAAAAAAAAACAAAAAAAAACAACAACAACCACTTTTTAGGTTTTAACCATGCTACAATCTCAAGCAATCTAAGGAAAGGCAGTTGTGTTTAGTGAAAAATTAATACATGTTTGACTCAGTTAACTTTAAGTGCCCAAGGTGAGGTCGAATTTGGCGAGAGCTCTGAGATTTTAAGAAGAATTTCTTTTGATTATATTTTATATTGAAAAGACAGGAGATGGGCCAAAGAAAGACAGTTTAATAAAATTCATATTTCTTTACAGAACAACATTTTTATGTGCACATTGTCATTAGATCTGGTCCTCAATCCAATAAAATTAATGCACATTCATTTTGGTGAGCTGAGAAAAAAAAAACCTATGGGCTGTAACTGTAGGCTATAACTGTTTTCTACGTAGACTGAAGCCTGTAACTTTTAAAACATTTTTGGCAATGTTAATGAGTCTGAAAATAGTTCCAAATGTTTTTAAATGAATAAAGGGTCATAACTTTTTGTGTGTCCAGCCAACTCGTCCCACCTGAACCAGGTGTGCACCACCTGGGGCAATTCGCATTGGAAGTCATTTGACGGACATTTTTACACCCTGCCCTCCCCCTGCACACATGTGATGACAAAGGTGTGTGGCACAGAAGCGGAAAGCTTCTTTGTGATCCATATTACCCGCTCAGTGGTCGGGCTGAAGCACAACATCAGCAAGATCCTAATGAAAGTGGAAGGCGCCGTCATAGAACTGGGTGACTCCCCCAGGGACACTGCCAAAATCAACGGCGAGACGTGAGTGCAGGCACTGGAATACAGTATATGTAAAAATATAACATAAACATAAAATAAGAAGTGCAATAAAAATCATAAAAATAATAACAATAATGAAAAAGCATTTCCATTGGTTGAATGGTCATCAGGACAGCATAGTGCAGCAATTTCATGTTATGCTATTACCATAGAATACAGCGATTACTCAGAACTATGCAATAATTAAAGAACCCATATTTTCTGATCTATGTGATTATGTTTCTTCATCAAAAATATACCCAGAGTTGTGTTTTGTTTTATTTATAAATGTTTAGCTGACAAACCCTGCATATGTTTATGCTGAGTAGTTTTAATTTTGGAGATGTAGACATCTTAATAATGCAGGATTACTCAAATATGTGTGAATGAAATAAACAAAACACAACTCGAGGTATGTTTTCGATAAGGTAACAACATTATACCATGGCTTAAAGCTAACAACAGTCAATTTTTGTGTAATATAGAGCTTTTAATGCGCCTTAGATCTGTACTTTCCCATTGTGAGTGAATGATATTACTAAGTACAGTTAGTTTAGTTTACGGTAAGTTTTAACTCATATAGTGACTGATTATAAATGGAGTGAAGTTTAGTTTAGTCTTTATTGGAAAGGACAATATACAGAGACATTAAGATCATAAAAATGTTGTGCAGCAGATTAGCTAAATATCTAGTTTCCGTCTCCAGTCCCTGAGTATACATGAGGTCATGTAGCCTTATGTTCTGTGCCCAGGGTGGACCTCCCTACAGTGATGTATGGGGTGAGTCTATCTGTCACCCCCTCCAGTGTGGTCATACAGGCCAATGTCGGCTTCAGAATCATCTGGAACAGGGACGACTCTGTGGATGTAAGACACACACACGCATGCACACACACACTCACTCATGTTTGGTATCTTTGGTTCTGGCTTATATTGAAAAAAAATGGGACTTTTCGGAAGGATTTTTTTCCCTCATACTGACCAGTCTTGTTTTATTTTCAAAAGCGCTTTCCATTTTGATTACATGAACATGGGCAACATTTACTGTAATTTAATGCAAAATATGTCTTCCTGAGCTCCAAACTACATACTTTTACTGAAAGAGAATTGGCTGCCTCCTTAAAAAGGAGGCAGGTCCCTACAATGTGAGTCCCCAATAGTCCCTGTCGGCTAGTCCCCATACATTGCCTTTTTTCCACATTTTTTATTAATATAGAAAAAGCTACTTGTGCATGATGTACTCTTTTAGATTGTGATCTTGTTTAAATATGGAACTTCTGCATAGTTTTTTTTTTATTCATATCTTTCTAAAAATGTATCACATGACCCGAATATTCAAAAAATGCCATTACATTTTTGAACATTTGGAATTTTATTGATATGTTATTGCTAATTGGAATACTTTAGGTTTCAATAACTCTGACATACCTGCTGGCCACACCCTTTCCCTCATCAATACTTGACAATGGACACTGGGTCTTGTGCATCAGAAGGCAGACATGACCTTTTCATGCTATTTGCCCTCCACAGAACTCCTCTTACAAACAAACACTACAGTCATCCTTTGGCAGCGTGCCTTAAGAGGATGTGAGCAGCTTTTGGTGACAATGCAATATTCATATAGAGTCTTGACTTTTGTTTATTTATGCTGATAGAGAAGATTTTCAACTTGTGCCAGATTTTGTTCATGTGGATAAGCCCGGGAATAACAGAGATATTAACCATAAATCAGGTCAACTAATTTGCAGTCTGACAATTGAACAGCTAATTTCACCATAGAATTCTACATCAGTTAGACTTGTCAACAAGTATGTGTAGATAAAAACATGCAATCATAAGGTATAACTAAAAAAAGAAATTGACCAGACTTCTAGATAGACCAAATAGTGAAAGAAAACATAATAAAATAATTTATTTAAGTTTTCTTAACATGAGCAATTACTTAGAAAATTGTAAGATTGTTTTGTCCCTCTGTGGAAGAGCTAATGTTGTGTCAGCAAGTCAAATTTAATTTACATAAATATGGGAAATCATTGTGATTCTTTTGATTGTTACCGTATAATACTATAACTGATATATATTATAGTATTATCTTTTGTTGTAAATCTATAAACAAATTTAAAATGTTTAAATGTTTTTTTTTTTTTTTTATGTTAAATTATTTACTATTTTGGATATAGATATACAAGTTCACTTTTATGTGTCAAAGTAACTCTAAACAAGCATGGCTGAAGTGACTCATGAGCTGATGTCTTTCAGATTGAGATGGACATTAAATATCAAGGCCAGCTGTGTGGGCTGTGTGGCAACTTCAATGGAATTTCCAATGACTTCAGGAAAAACGGTGAGAGCTGAAAAGTTTAAAATGGATACAATAGGAACCACGTTAGAGATGTTTTTTTAATAGTGTATGCTGATGCACACTGAAACCTACAAGCTTCAAACATACCTCATACATTGAGCATATTGTTGTTCTGATGTGAACCTTTGTACTGTGTTATAGATCTGAGACAAACAGCTAGTACAGCTCAGGGGACCACATCTAAAAGGATTAATTAGCTTACAGAAAAATAGTTCAGGGGTCAGTGTACAGTGGAGTGGAAAAGCAGAGACTGTGTTCTGAATACTGAATATTCTTTATGCAGAGCTGCAGCTATCACTGTTGGACTTCGCAGAGACCTACAAAGTGACTGGTCCCACAGAGTCATGTGACATCCACTTGCCGGAACCTGCCCAAGGCTGTGTGGAGAAGGTATGGGTGCAACCCTGTCTCTGATGTCCACAAGTGTGCAGCACACACTCATTTATTGTTGATTTTCTCTACAGCAATACTGTGAGGACATCTTTTCCAGCGCTCCATTCACAGACTGCTACGGGCGATTGGATGTGGATGCCTTTTCCTCTATGTGCATGTCAGATATGTGCAACAGCACCTTAGTTCTGTGCAAAACCATCTCTGAATTCTCCAGACAGTGTGTCCATGCTGGAGGTTTGCCACTGAAGTGGAGGAATGAGTCCTTCTGCAGTAAGAAGACACACATTACATAGTGCCACTGTACAATGGGAGGTGCAGAGACTGACATATGTTTGTGTCATAGATGTGACGTGTCCCTTTAACATGGAGTTCCAGGAGTGTAGCACGTCATGTCCAAACACCTGCTCCAACCGCGAGGCCAGTCAGACATGTGACACCCACTGTCTAGACCTGTGCAGCTGCCCCTCAGGTCAGAGCTGACCACCACACCTCACATGTTCTGTTCTGTCTCTGGAGAACACTGCACACTTACTGCTCTGAGTCCTACTTCCAAAACACTATCACACACATCCATACACTTTTAATACATACTAGTCCAAGTTCATTCAAAGCAGTTCAGTGTATATGAATTATAAAATGAAGTATTACATATATGTATGTGTAATGTGTGTGCCCCCTGCAGGCACCATCTTTGATGACATTGGTGAAAGTGGCTGTGTACCGGTGACATCGTGTCCCTGTTTGCACAACGGGAAGGTGTATCAAACGGGAGAATCCTACTCTTACCAATGCAGGAACTGGTGAGAGCATTGTCCCAAACTCTTTATCAAAAAGAACTAATAAGAGTGTTGTCAGCCAGCCATTAGGGTACAGAATAAGAAATGGGGGCTATTTATAAGAGTAAAAGAATGATTAAGAATGATTGCACCATAAACATTTTTGTGGTTCTTCATGGTGACATAATGACAGAACACCTGAATGTGCTTTTCTGTATGACCTCATAGTTTGATGTGATTTATGTGCAGTGTGTGTGGTGGGGGCCAGTGGACGTGTACAGCGACAGACTGTCCAGGCACCTGTTCTGTGGAGGGAGGGGCTCACATCACCACATATGACAGAAAGTCCTTCACCTTCCATGGAGAATGTTCCTACGTGCTTACCAAGGTACTCTTTAATCCCCAGGACAGCTGGAACCAGTTTATACAGCTATTACAATTATGTGCATGTGTTTTTACAGTAAATGTTAAATGGTCAAATTTTTTCAAGGCACTGAAAGCACTTTACATCAAGGAATCACTCTCCCATTCACACACATTCACACCCACTGTACACAGACTCTTGGGGTGAGGGGGGTTAAGTGTTTTACTTAATGACACTATGACAGCATTCATCTGTGGAAATCACACCACCAACCTGTGGGTCAGTGGACCTCATCTCTCAGCCAATGATGTTTATGCCAAGAGGGGATTCAAACTGCCAACATTCTGATCAGTGGACAAACACCCTACTAATCGAGCTACTGTCATCCCAGTAAATTCAGTGATTAGTTTTTTTTTTGCTTTTCACATTGAACTAGCACAAATCATGTGTGTATTCTGGTATCTGATGAGATGTGGCTTTGACAATACAATTAAAAAGACTCGTAAAAAGTCAAACTAGACAGGGAGGCTATTCAGTAAATGGAAGCACAGAAGTAAGTTACAAAGAGATCTATAGTCTATAGGTTGATCGGTGGGTCTAACTTATGGATGAACGGTAATATATAATAATATAATATACATCTGAACTGAATGTAAAGTGTTCTGGTTTGTGTGTTTGGTGCAGAGTGAGGGCTCAGAATTCACAGTGCTGGTAGACCTGGCGAAGTGTGACCTGTCAGAAACTGGGACCTGCGTCCGTGGAATCGTCCTGGCCCTGTACAGCAACAGCACGGTGAGTATACACACACAGAGTTGTAATATATTGGGACAAAGAGTAAATCCATTGTTTTGGTTGACAAAAAACAAAAACAAAAAAAACATCAACCACTGGTCAGAGTTGAACTGAATTAAGATTCAACTCTAATACAAATGTATTTATAGAGCACTTTTTATTCATGAAAAACTCGCCTTTATAAGGGATTTAAATCATGTCACCTTGAGCTCCTGAGGCAGGGCAAGGGGCCCATACAGAGAACACACTGTTCCCCCTGCTCGGAGTCTGGAGCTGAGAACAGTCAGTAGGGTTCTGCATGAAGACCTCAGGCAGCACACTGGCTCATTTGAAGACAGTATTTTTATTATTTACAAAAAAAAAAAAAAAAAAAAAAGTAATATTAATAAGCTCTTTCCTTTCACACTGCAGATTGTTGTAGTCAAAGCATCTGGGCAGGTGTTTGTGAATTATATTGAGTCCCAGCAGCCCCTCTTCACAGGTGAGTCTGACAGTTACATCACAGTAATGCACCTGACAGCACAGTGAAGCACCTGAGGGCATATTCATGCACCTGACAGCATATTTACGCACCTGACAGCTCAGCAATGCACCTGACACAGCTATCAGCCCAGTCATCTAACCTCTGCTCTGATCTCCACAGCCGACTTCTCCCTGTACAAGATGTCCAACATGTACATGATTCTCGAGATCAGAATGGGCCTGCAGCTGGTCATACAGCTGCAGCCGGTATTGCAGGTCTTTGCCATAGCAGATGCCAAGCTGAAAGAAAAGATGTTAGGTAAGACTAACTTTTTCAAATTTTAATTTAATTTAATTTTATCATGATTAAGTAAGACAAGTATTGCTATAATGACTGGTGTATTCAAAGACAAGAACAACAATAACAACAGTTTTATACCTTTTTATATGTTACACCTCTCGCTCAATCCTTGCTACTGCTACCTTTCAAAAGGTTTATGTGGGAACTTTAATGACAAGGAGCTGGATGACTATAAGGTGATGAGTGGATTGGTGGAATCCACAAGCACAGCGTTTGCCAATGCGTGGAAAACCCAAGCCAACTGTCCGGATATCAGCACACAGATGCAGAACCCATGTTCCCAGACCATCACAAAAGGTAAGCTACCAGCCAGCCACCCAGACTCCCCCCACAGTGAACTCACCTCAGCCTGAACACTCTCATCTGCTCCCCAGAGAGCTATGGTGACTACTGGTGCTCCAAGCTGACCGAAGCAAATGGAGTTTTTGCCAAATGTCATTCTGCTGTTTCACCTGAACCCTACATGCAGGTGAGCATGAAAATCACATATGCAGTAGAAACCAGGTTCAATCCTGCTCAGCTTCTGAGGTTAGATGAAATAAAGCATTTTAGGGAAAAATCAAACATTCCTCTTTGATAAAGAAAAATATATACATTTAGACTCTTTTACAATCTTCATGCAATGTATCTCCATGGAGACAAGCAAATGGCACCACTAGATCTGTGGAGAGGCCAAACCACTCACAAAAAAGCTTGATAGAGTTTTATGCTATATACAATATTGGAAAATTCAAGGCAATAACATAGAGATAAGTCAACAGAGGGCCAACCCCCAACAGAAATGTTACATAGTGCACCTTTTACTCCATAAAACAAATTTAAGATATATTGCTAATCTAGTTGCAATAGGAAAAAAAAAAAACAACAACAATTACAGCTAAAGATTTGTTCCAAAAATGTCTAGCACAGTAGAAGAGCTTTGATGCTCTCTTAAAAAAAACAACAACATATATATATATATATATATATATATATATATATATATATATATATATATATATATATATATATATATATATATTAGTGCTGTCATGCGATTAAAAAAATAGAGAGATTAATTAATTATGATCTGTAATTAATTAATCTAATTAATCTCATTTTAATCTCACCTAAAAATTGCTGAGAAAAGCCTTCAATTTGAGGTATTTTCATTTAAATTCATTATTACATTATTGTGGCAGATCAAAAGACTGATATAGAACAAAAAAAGTGACTTTACAAAGTCATTTAGTCATATAGAGATAGAGATAGAGATAGAGATAGAGATGGAGGCTTCATTGCTCCCAGAGGAAAAGTTGAGCTGCAGAAACATAGTCTACACAGTTGTTGTGTGTGGCCAGTGTTGTTGATGGAGACTCATTGTGCAGCGCTGTAAACACATGGTGTGTGAAGGAGAGAAGAGCGAGGACTCCATGTGTGCGTCCGTGTCATCCTACATCCTGGCCTGCTCCCAGGCAGGAGTCCACATCAAGGAATGGAGGGACACCATTTGTGGTCAGACATTTTACCATTACCTTCTGATTGTTTTTGATAACTGGTAACTGTATATGTCATTATGTGAGGATTTACACTGCTTTCCTTTCATGAAAAAGCATCTGTGTTAGCTTCTATTTGTCATCTATGTATTAGGAATTAATACTAATGTATTTGATTTATATATGGCTTCTTCAGACTCTTAAGGATGTTTGAATTGCAGCATTCATTCACTCCACACATGGTGGGGGTAAGGTGGTAATATTGTAGCCACAGCTGTCCTGGGGAAGACTGGTGGAAGTGTACCACTGCCAATTGTTCATGCACTTACCACATTCATACTACGTAGGCAAGATGGCTGAAGTGTCTTGCCTAAGGACCCTCAAGTCACTGCTGCACCTGGTGTTCCTGCTATTCTCCCACTTCACAACTTATGCCCAACCTTGCTTTGCAGATCAGATAATTTGATTAAATCAGGAAATTTTAATAAAAATATAATAATCATAATAATCATAATAATCATGCTTACATAGCACCTTGTATTCCTAGTGTCTCCCATCCAAATACTAACCAGGCCTGACCAGGTGTTGCTTAGCTTCTGAAATCTGAAAAGATCGTGTTTTGACAAGGTGATTTGGCCTTGGAATTGACATAATATTGCAGATAACTAATAAAAACAGGGAGGAGAGGGACAAGAAACAAGCTCCTAACAAATTTCAAAAATAAATAAATAAGAATTAAAGTAAATAAATAAAATGTATAATTTAATTTCAAGATACTTTTCAATACTGTCTTTTAACTGTTAGTCACACATTCTATCCAGGGGAAACCATCTTGAATAATATACTAATACTTATTTAGTTTTTTCATTCCAAAACATGTTATTTCTTTCTCTATACATTGCTACATTCAGTTATACCTTATATCCAGAGTTTACTCTTTGTAGACAAAATGCGTAAACCTCTCATGTCCTCTGCCATCACCAGCTAAATTCACAGAGTGCCCAATGGGAACTTCATACAGCTACAACATGACGAGCTGCCATCGTTCCTGCCGCTCCCTGAGCCAGTTCGACTACACCTGCCAGAGGAACCTCCCGGTGCTGGATGGCTGTGGCTGTATGGAGGGCACCTACATGAACCCACAGGGCCAGTGTGTGCAAAGCTCCGAATGCCCCTGCTATGATAAAGACGATATCATCTCGCCCGGACAGAGCATCAACAAGGACGGCAACACCTGGTAAGTATATACAAGAGTGTTAGTATGTAACACTATATCAGCCCTCTCTGTTGTCAGTGTACTGTGGACTGTGTTTTATAATCTATAATTATGAAAAAAAATGTGTATGTGCTGTCACCAATGGCCATTACATTTCAAGAGGCCTATTGTCAAATGTATATATTTTTTTAAAATTATTAATAGAACCTAGTCTGCATTAGGGGTGTGCAAAAATATTGATATGTCATATCATTTAATGTGATGATACAGCACTGATATCAAGAGTATTTTTTGGTGTATTTTGTAAGTTATTTTATTACAGCGCCACAGTTTTGTTGCTTCATTTTCATTTTGCACAAGAAATGGTTTAACAAAGACTTTTAGTATCACAGCCATGATTTTGCCTTTATTTTTAATTGAAACATATCAAATCGATTTGAACTATATCGCATTGAACTGAAAGCTCACTGTATCGAGATATGTATCATATCGTGGCCTGTGTATCAAGGTATGTATCCTATCGGCAACTTCTTAATGATGCCCAGCCCTAGTCTCCACAGGGTGTCATTGTCATGTGTAAAAATACATGAAATTGCATAAATTAGATAAGGCATGATTTTAATGCAAAGCACTCTCAATGAATCTTCTGAGCATTCACAGCATTCAAAAGTCTTCACCATTTGCCAATATGTTGGTGCATTAAACAAAAACAGAAAGTCCAGTGCCTTTTAAAATTAAGTCTATCTGATTGTATTTCTTGGTTTTCAGTGTCTGCAGAGATGGAGTTCTAAGCTGCATAGGAGGGAACGAGCAAGGTAGGGTGAATTACATTATATCTCTGTTCAACCCAGCACAAGTCTGTGCGTTGATTGGCAGAAATTTTGACCATTCCATTGACTATTTATGTCTTTAAAGATAATTCCTCCAAGTGCGCCTCTCCAATGGTGTACTTCGATTGCTCCACTGCTCCAGCCGGGTCCTCAGGTGTGGAGTGCCAGAAGAGTTGTGGCACGTTGGACATGGCTTGCGTAAGTGTCAGCAGATGTCACAGTATCACGAAACCAGAGTGAGCGATGTGTAGTCTGTAAACTCCTATCCTGTTGTATAAAACCTGCTAACCCTGTAGTTTAGGCCTTTACAGATATGCTCAGAAATGTGTGGGATTTTTGTTGTTCACTTCATATTTCAGAGTTCTCTCAAAATAACAAAACAAAATAAAAAAGGTTTATACTTTGCCAAAATCATCCCTTTTTACAGTTAAGCTCGGGCTGCACCTCTGGCTGCATGTGTCCGGAGGGCCTGGTGTCAGACGGGGCGGGGGACTGTATTGAGGAGAGCAAATGTCCCTGTCTGCACAACGGGAAGGTGTACCAGTCAGGAGAGACCCTCAAAGTGGATTGCAACACCTGGTGAGGTCCAGCTAAAAGGCTCACTTTTATGTCTCTATTGGCTCTACTTTTAAATTTGTATGATGGTTTGTAATAGTGATGGGCAGATTGATTCCAAAATACTGATATACTGATAATAACTGAGCTGAGGTACTGAAAAAGATCAATTCTCATGAGAAAATATATTACTTTATGGAGGTAGCATGTCACCGGCATGATTGTATGGAAAAAAAGGAAGAAAAGAAAAAAAAACATACTTCAGAACATGCTCCATGGAAATAGATACGTTTTATGCTCTACTATTGAAGAATATAGCCAAAGGAACAACATTTCATGGAAGTCAAATAAGAGTCAGGTTTATGGAAATGCAAGCCTGCTCACAGTAAGGACGCATGTTTTTCAGTGCAATGAAAAACACCAAAATGAAAAAAAAGCATGCTTTATTTTAGCCTATTTAAAAATTAGCTTTAAAATGTCTTACAATGTTCCCCTATTTTTATCAATTTTTCTATTTTGAATGCATTTTTTTGTATTTATCTGCACACATATTGAATTTATAGATGAGTTTAGACACGTGTGGGGCAAAGGTAATGAAAGCTTCTATACTCCATTAGAAGCTTTGTTTACTATAGGCTATAGTAAACAAATTGTGAAAAATTACCTTGATCAAAATGCCCTTCGTACATTAGTTCAAGGTTCAAGGTTCTTTGTCATTCAAGCAAGCAAGAGAAACACATGACAGAACGAAATGTGCTCCCCAAGACCCAGTGATCCAGATAGAGATAAAAAAACAAAAAACAATAATAAATAAGCAAAAAAAAAAAAATTTTTTTTTAAAAGTACATCAAAACAGCAACATTTAGCAGTTCCAATAGATGAGTACAAATAAAACGTGTGGCAAGATAGAGAGGCAGCCCAAGCAGGAAGTCAGTGTTCAAAAGTCTGACAGGAAAAAAGCTGGACTTCAGCCGAGATGTACGTAATTTTCTTATTTCACATACTGTGCTGAAGTGTGGGGGAACACTTACCAATGCACACTTATTCCACTGATTATATTACAGAAACAAGCTTTGCGAATTATCCATAAAGTTGTATTTTTAGAACACAGCCATAATCTTTTTATTCAATCCAAGCTCCTAAAGATTCCTGAGCTTGTAAAATATTATACACTAGTAATTTTATTCAAAGCATGCAACAATTTACTACCAAGTCATCTTCAAAGCTTGTTCAAGATGAGAGAGAGAGAACTCATAATTTTAGAGGGTATGGAAATTTCAAATTGCCAAATGTTCAAACTATCCATACAAGTTTCTTTGTGTCTATATGTGGTGTAAAACTCTGGAACTCTCAAGCAATGCCAAAATATCCATAAATTCAAGCTGTTCTATAAACATATGGTCTGGTCACAGTATATAGAGAGTGGGTCTTAATATGAGAATAATACTTCCTTCTGTAGTGCTGGTTTATGTTTGTTGTTTCCGCATCATTGCTGGTATATACATGACTTGTATCCAGTGTTGGGAAGGTTACTTTTAAAATGTATTCCCCTACAGATTACAGATTACATACCCCAAAAAAATATAGTTTGTAACAGAATCCATTAAGTTACTTTAGATGAGTAACGTAATCTGAATACTTTGGATTACTTAATATTGTCATGCTTTTTAAAACTACATGAATGTAGCAACCACATCCTGAAAATTCTTGTTTGTTCTCTTCAAATTGTCTGAGCCCAAGTCTCCATGAACAGGCATTTGTTTGCTGTAGAGAAGCAAAGACTAGGATATTTTAATGTAAGATTTTTGTCTGGTAAAAGACAATAAAAAGCCCAGTCTTTCCTTAACCGTATTGATAATATTATTGATAGAGAAATGCTTTCTATATGAGATCACTGCTGCTTTAATTTATGTCCATCCTACTGTTAGGTGTCATATTATTTATTAGAACAAGAAAAAAAATCACTTTCAGTGCAAACATAAAGGTGCCAGCCCAGTAAAAATCAGTAATATTTGATGTTTTGTACTCAAAATGATGCAGAATCAGATTATTAACAACGACGATTATTAACAACCTCGTCAATTGTGTGACGTTAAGAAGACGTTTACGTGGCTCTTATTGCGCGTGTTCTGTTTGGGTTTCCGGCAATGAGTGGAATTACTGAAATAAAAAATAAAAATAAAAAAAGGGATATAGCCCAAAATGTGAAAACAGGAAAATACCGCCATGGAATCCATTTATTTCAACAAAGTAACTATAATCCAATTACCACTCATGGAAACAGTAACTGTAACCGAATACAGTTACTCATAATTTGTATTCTGATTATGTAACGCCGGCACATCTAATCTGTTACTCCCCAACACTCCTTGTATCTGTTGTCTGTTACCATTGTCTGTATCCTCCTGTTCCACTGTTGGTATGATTATGTTATACTACCAAGCTATATCAGTTACTCACTATCCGTACTTGTAAATAGTTCACATAGTTTAATACAAAATGTCTGAAAAACCCAAAAGAAGGCTCATTGTGTTAGATTAGAAGAGTGGGGGTGGGATTAAATACATTTTCTTATTCCCACTCCTTTTTGGGTACATTTTTTGTGGTTATTTTCATTTCTATTATGATTTCACTTATGTTATATGTTCCATTGTATAAGAATGTAAATCTACTTGCTCATAAATACAATACAAAATACTCCAAACTTCTCTTTATAGCAGGGCAGTTTCTATCCATTTGAATACAAAAAGCATTGGTTGTAATTGTACTTTGCATCAGAACGAAACAAAAATCACTGCTATGGCTCATCACTATGAACTTTGTACCCATTTGTTGTGTTCTTAACTCTCTTGTTATGATGTTATTATTATTTCACAGTTACTGCTCAAACCGAAAGTTCTCCTGCACCTCAAACGTCTGCGATGCTGTCTGTAGCGTTTATGGAGACGGGCACTACACCACTTTTGATGACAAGAGATATGACTTCAATGGTCAATGCCAGTACACACTGCTGCAGGTGAAGCACACAACCTTCCCAGTGAAACGAGCAGATGTTTCCTCAGCATTACCTGTGGAGAAATCCTCATTCTGCATTGCATTCTGTATATCTTTGATCATTAATTTATATGCTTAGAGCGGGTATTACACTTACATTTATGTGTGTAACTTTTAGAATTAATGGTGCTTTTCAGAGTAGTTTTAGTAGACATTTTGTTCGAAGTAAGAGTACTCTTACTTAAGTAAAAGGGTTGGTTACTCGTCCCACTGTAAGTTTACAAATAACAAAAGCTCTATGTTGGCAATATTGAATAATTTAGGCATTTACTATTCTTGCTCCTTAACTTCATATTTGATTTTGTTTAGAAATAATACATTATTTTTATTTTTTATGTTTTTGTTTGTCCAATTGCATCCACTCATAAATCTGTATCAGTAAATCAGAATAGTAGTTTCTCTAAATCTTTTACTGTTACTTGAATAAATACTTGAGTTACTGCTTTTTACTTATTATTCAGTTTTATTTGGACCCCAGGAACCCCAGGAAGAATAGCCTGCGCTAATGGGGATCCTATCAATAAACAGTAAACAATAAACAATTAACTTCTACTTCAATAATATAATTTTAAGTAATCTTGAGTACAAAAAATAGTACAGATTTTAGCTATTTAATGAGAAACTATATTAGATGGGCTACCTACTAGACATAGCAATGCAACAAACTGATTTTCAAAACAAAAAATTGACAAAAAATTGTCAAGTGCAATTTAGTGTTTTCACATTACAAAATTTTTAAACTCGATTTTGACAAGGAATAGGCTTTATACTTGATACTGATTCCACAATGATACTACAATGATAACTAAAAACACTCTTTATTTAGACAAGAGAATGTGATTTTCAGCATTAAATCAAGGTACTTTCTTTTATATTACCATCTAATTTTTCATCTGTTTAATCCGTTTTTTTTTTTTTTTTGGTCCATGAGTGTACACTAGTCTTTATACTTGTCCTGATACATTCTAAAGTTATATTTTTTTAGTCTTGATACCTGCTCAAATGAGTATCTAGTTTCGATAACAGCACTATTATCGATTAGTATCTGATATTCGATTTGCAATATAGTAAGCGTTTATATTTTATAATGATTTCAGTCAGTCACAGCACTTTAGATTGAGATCAGTGCACTGTTACTCCCCCTATAAACGCATAAGAAACACCACTCAATAACCTACATAGTAACCCATGTACTTTTATGTGCTAGGACTACTGTGGTGGCTCCAACGGCACTTTCAGAATCATCTCTGAGAACATGCCATGTGGGACAACTGGCACCACCTGCTTCCGAGTCATCAAGATCTACCTGGGGGTAACTTCAACAATCTTAATGCCTTTTTACCAGTTTGTGTATTTTTATTCACTTTCATTCATTTTTATGTTTTTAACGGATCCTGTGCAGTGTCCTTGGGTATTTTGAAAGGCTTTCATAAATAAAATGTAACATAAAAATAGAGTTATTATCTGATTAAGAGTGCACATGTATCCGCTACCACTGTTTGTTGGAATCACTAACTAATGTGCCCACAGGAGGCAGAGTACCAGTTCCGTGAGGAGAAATTCCATGTGGTGAAGAGCAGTAGCAAGTTCGGCCCACCTCAAATGCAGAAGATGGGATTGTACCTGGTGGTGACCCTCAAGCTTGGCATGGTTGTCATGTGGGACATGGGGACCACCTTCTTCATTAAACTCCATCCAGTTTTTCAGGTCTGCAGACTTCTCCACTTTGACAGCAGTTCCTTAGGTGCATTTCCTGCTAAGTACAAGAAATGCACCCATACTAAATGTTAGATATGAACATCACACCAAACCAGTGTCACTCCAACTACACCAAGTTCTCCAGTCAACTAAGCGTGAACATGCACTGAGACCCCCATAATGTTTAAGTGCCATGTTTTCACACATGGAACAGGAACTCTCTATAATTCCTGTTTCTATTTAGTAAGAGGAGCCACCTGGGCCCCCCTGCTTACATTCACACAGCGACAATTGGGGCTAAACAGTAATAAAATTTAGATATGTTTTGTGTGATGTATTTAAATACCTAATTGAATATTGAATTGAATACCTAATTCCACCGTAAACGCTACAGTGAATAGCTTAAAATTGAATTAAATTAACAATAAAATTCCCCAGTTATTATCACAATTATTAAAAAATTGTCATTGTTATTCTATTTGCTGTTTGTTATTAATTGTTTTAAATAGTATTTTGGTAATTCTGTAAACTGATTAAAATATCTGCCAAGAATGTACCTGCAACAGGTTTATGCAGGGTGGAAACCCCTTTTAACGCAATTCCTAGTCACAAGTTTTTTGCACACACAATAACCATAGTTGACTTTTTTGGGCCTCTGTTGCTGTTTCTCAAAGACAAAGCATTAGATGTCCAGCTCAAAATGTAGTGGAGTAGAAAATGTAATCATTAATCTTAATTTTATTCTTATTATTTTAGGGCAGTGTGTGTGGTTTATGTGGGAATTATGATGGTAAGAGCGCAAACGATTACACCACACGCTCTCTAGAGCTTGTGAATGATGTACTGGAGTTTGGGAACAGCTGGAAGGTTTCGACAACCTGCCCCAATGCTCAGCTTGTCCAAGACCCCTGCCTCACTCACCCCTACCGCTTGGCCTGGGCACAGAAACAGTGCAGCATCATCAACAGCATCACGTTCCAGAGCTGCCACTCACAGGTGACTGACCACAGCACACATGCTTACAGAGTAGTTAGTGCAGATGAAGTGTAAACGTTATTCCCCGAGTTGAGATTTTTACCCCTATGTAGCTCTTTTTGGGCAAGTCCCTCATTCACACTCATGCATGTTCTGTCTAAGGACCTGCTACCACATAAGCTACAGTTGCTTTCGATGACAAGGTTCTATAATATTTTCTATAGAAGATAGCAATGGTTCAGTTGGTAAAGTAATGTACATTTAGGACCTAACTATATAGAATTTATACAGAAGGTGGCAATAGCTCAGGTGATAGACTGCTGTACTGTGCATTTACCAAATGCACTTTTATTTATATTTTGTCAGTCTATGAATAAACTGAATACATAACTGTATGTACTTTGTAAAAGGTGGACCCAGGCCCATACTTTGACTCATGTGTCAGAGACTCTTGTGCCTGCGACACTGGTGGAGATTGCGAATGTTTGTGCACTGCTGTGGCTGTTTATGCCAGAGTGTGTAACGAAGCTGGTGTGTGTGTCAGATGGAGAACGCCAAAGCTGTGTCGTGAGTTCAGCAGTAATAAAAATAATATCCAGAAGTGTCCACAAAGTCTAAAAGCATAACCATTCACTTGCAGCTGTTTTCTGTGATTACTACAATGCCCCTGAAGGCTGTGAGTGGCATTACAAACCCTGTGGAGCAGACTGCATGAAGACCTGTAGAAACCCATCAGGGAACTGCTCCAGTCTTATCACTGCAATCGAAGGTAAAGATTCAGTTATGACTGTGAAAAAAATCAAATTTAGATTGAAAGGCAAATTTTTTAGTAATGTTTCAGATCATATCTATTTAAAGTGTTACAGAAAATCTGTAGAGTAAAGAAGCAGGCAGGAAATCAACTTGGCAATTATCAGCCTGGAAGTTTACAGACTTTTTTTTTTATTAAGTCAGTTTAAGTTTAAGTTAAGTTTAAGGTATTAGCGATATTTGCATTTTGGATTTTAGGTTACAATCCTTAGAGTTTCTTATATTTTCAGATTTGCTACCCATATACTGTTGGTGAAAACTTTTTTTCACTATGAAACATATCGAAGTGGAGAGCCACTGAATATAGTGGTCAATAAAGTGGATCATTTAAATGAATACATTTTACATAGTTTTGGTAGAGTTACTTAAATTTGAGGTAAATACTTCTGTCTATGATTAATTGGGCTAGTTTAGCAGGAGGCTTGAGGACAGAATTTGGCCCCCGGGCCATAGTTTTGACAACCTTAAATAAAGTATGAATCTATGCTGGCTTTATTTTTATCTCTTACTACAGTTTTGGACATTCCACAGATGACTAATAATATTTTTCAGTTTTTGTGCAGAAGCAGACTTTAGTTTTTTCTCCAAACAGATTTATTTAAGCAAAAAAAAAAAAAAAAAAAAAAAAAAAAAAGGGGGAATACAGGGGATAGTATATAACATACAAAGGCTTAATATGTCTTCTTTAATCAGTTAACTGATACAGTGAAGATGTTACCTGTGTGTTGTAGGCTGTTATCCACAATGCCCACCAAGTGAACCATTCTTTGATGAAGACAGCATGAAATGCGTCACCAGGGAGAAATGTGGCTGTTTCGACGATAATGACAATCATTACACTGTTGGAGAATCTGTTCCTTCATCCAACTGTTACACTTGGTAATACTCTTTTATTAACATTACTGTTCAGGATCACAAAAATACTGATTTTAATATAATAATTATTTTAACTTCATAGCGATAAAATATTGTGTTTTTTTCAAGTACACTGACTTTTGAATGGACATAACTTCTTTTAAAATACAATATCTTTCATCCATAAGCTGCCGTTTGACTAGTGCACCCTACCCGCCACAGCATGGACTAGACATCTATTTTTAGTGCATGAGAAGCTTGCATACAGATGCATTATTGCCACAGTCAAATAGTTTTTATACTGGGACATTATAAGATTAGGTGAAATTTGTGGGCCCAGATTATTGTATGGATGCTTAGGCCCAATGGTGTGCATGCTTTTAATTTTCTGTTTTAGAATTTAGTCAAGTCACTATTCACGTGAAAAAGATGACCTAGTATAGAGATGTATAAGGTTTATACAGAATTTTGAGAAAACCTGTCTTTTTAGTAAAAAGTGAAATCCTACAGACATCTATTAACAGTTTTTGTTTCATCATTATAAGTACTTGCACAGATTCAGGAATCAAGTGCAGCTACAATTCAAGTTGTAAGTATAACTGTGATTACTGATGAGACACTTGATGAGACATTTTGTAATAAAAATTAAAAAAATGTTTTCAACAGCTTGCAAATGCTTCATAAGTGGGAAGATCTACAATTATGGAGAAATTGTATACAACACCACAGATGGACTTGGAAACTGCATCACAGCCGAATGTGGAGAGGATGGGACAATACAAAGAAAACTGTATCCTTGCACTACCACAACCACAGCTGTTCCTACAACATTTGTTTTTACGACAACAGGTATGGCAATAATTTAGAAAGCTGCAGCGAAAAATCTGACATGTCTAATCTTTGTCTCTTTATTTTATTTACAATGACTGACAATTAAAGTGCCAGCAACGACTGAGACAGCAACATCCACAACTACTGTGGTAGGAAACAAATACTACTGTTCCAGTGAACACGACAACTCAATCAACTACAGGAACAACAGCATCTACAACTACTGTTCCAGTGAACACTACAACTCAGTCAACTACAGCAACAACAACGTCTACAACTACTGTTCCAGTGAACACAACAACTCAATCAACTACAGGAACAACAGCATCTACAACTACTGTTCCAGTGAACACTACAACTCAGTCAACTACAGCAACAACAACATCCACAACCACTGTTCCAGTGAACACAACAACTCAATCAACTACAGGAACAACAGCATCTACAACTACTGCTTCAGTGAACACAACAACTCAATCAACTACAGGAACAACAACATCTACATCCACTGTTCCTGTGAAGACAACAACTCAGTCAACTACAGCAACAACAACATCTACAACCACTGTTCCAGTGAACACAACAACTCAATCAACTACAGCAACAACAACGTCTACAACTACTGTTCCAGTGAACACAACAACTCAATCAACTACAGCAACAACAACATCTACAACTACTGTTCCAGTGAACACAACAACTCAATCAACTACAGTAACAACAACGTCTACAACTACTGTTCCAGTGAACACAACAACTCAATCAACTACAGCAACAACAACGTCTACAACTACTGTTCCAGTGAACACAACAACTCAATCAACTACAGGAACAACAACGTCTACAACCACTGTTCCAGTGAACACAACAACTCAGTCAACTACAGCAACAACAACATCTACAACCACTGTTCCAGTGAACACAACAACTCAATCAACTACAGCCAAACAACAACGTCTACAACTACTGTTCCAGTGAACACAACAACTCAATCAACTACAGGAACAACAACATCTACAACTACTGTTCCAGTGAACACAACAACTCAATCAACTACAGGAACAACAACGTCTACAACTACTGTTCCAGTGAACACAACAACTCAATCAACTACAGCAACAACAACGTCTACAACTACTGTTCCAGTGAAACACTAACAACTCAGTCAACTACAGCAAACAACAACGTCTACAACCACTGTTCCAGTGAACACAACAACTCAATCAACTACAGCAACAACAACGTCTACAACTGCTGCGGTAAAAACAAATACTACTGTTCCAGTGAACACAACAACTCAATCAACTACAGTAACAACAACGTCTACAACTACTGTTCCAGTGAACACAACAACTCAATCAACTACAGCAACAACAACGTCTACAACTACTGTTCCAGTGAACACTACAACTCAGTCAACTACAGCAACAACAACGTCTACAACTACTGTTCCAGTGAACACTACAACTCAGTCAACTACAGCAACAACAACGTCTACAACCACTGTTCCAGTGAACACAACAACTCAATCAACTACAGCAACAACAACGTCTACAACTGCTGCGGTACAAACAAATACTACTGTTCCAGTGAACACAACAACTCAATCAACTACAGTAACAACAACGTCTACAACTACTGTTCCAGTGAACACAACAACTCAATCAACTACAACAAAAAAACAAAAACAACGTCTACAACTACTGTTCCAGTGAACACTACAACTCAGTCAACTACAGCAACAACAACGTCTACAAGCACTGTTCCAGTGAACACAACAACTCAATCAACTACAGCAACAACAACGTCTACAACTACTGTTCCAGTGAACACAACAACTCAATCAACTACAGTAACAACAACGTCTACAACTACTGTTCCAGTGAACACAACAACTCAATCAACTACAGCAACAACAACGTCTACAACTACTGTTCCAGTGAACACTAACAACTCAGTCAACTACAGTAACAACAACGTCTACAACTACTGTTCCAGTGAACACAACAACTCAGTCAACTACAGCAACAACAACGTCTACAACCACTGTTCCAGTGAACACAACAACTCAATCAACTACAGTAACAACGTCTACAACTACTGTTCCAGTGAACACAACAACTCAATCAACTACAGCAACAACAACGTCTACAACTACTGTTCCAGTGAACACTACAACTCAGTCAACTACAGCAACAACAACGTCTACAACCACTGTTCCAGTGAACACAACAACTCAATCAACTACAGCAACAACAACGTCTACAACTACTGTTCCAGTGAACACAACAACTCAAACAACTACAGGAACAACAGCATCTACAACTACTGTTCCAGTGAACACAACAACTCAATCAACTACAGGAACAACAACGTCTACAACTACTGTTCCAGTGAACACAACAACTCAATCAACTACAGGAACAACAACGTCTACAACTACTGTGGTACAAACAAATACTACTGTTCCAGTGAACACAACAACTCAGTCAACTACAGTAACAACAACGTCTACAAACAAATACTACTGTTCCAGTGAACACAACAACTCAATCAACTACAGTAACAACAACGTCTACAACTACTGTTCCAGTGAACACAACAACTCAATCAACTACAGGAACAACAACGTCTACAACTGCTGCGGTACAAACAAACACTACTGTTCCAGTGAACACAACAACTCAATCAACTACAGCAACAACATCTACAACTGCTGCGGTACAAACAAATACTACTGTTCCAGTGAACACAACAACTCAATCAACTACAGTAACAACAACGTCTACAACTACTGTTCCGGTGAACACAACAACTCAATCAACTACAGGAACAACAACGTCTACAACTACTGTTCCAGTGAACACTACAACTCAGTCAACTACAGCAACAACAACGTCTACAACCACTGTTCCAGTGAACACAACAACTCAATCAACTCACAACAACAACACAGGACAAACAACAACGTCTACAACTACTGTTCCAGTGAACACAACAACTCAATCAACTACAGGAACAACAACGTCTACAACTACTGTTCCAGTGAACACACAACAACTCAATCAACTACAGGAACAACAACGTCTACAACTACTACTGTTCCAGTGAACACAACAACTCAGTCATCAACTACAGTAACAACAACGTCTACAACTACTGTTCCAGTGAACACAACAACTCAATCAACTACAGCAACAACAACGTCTACAACTACTGTTCCAGTGAACACAACAACTCAATCAACTACAGGAACAACAACGTCTACAACCACTGTTCCAGTGAACACAACAACTCAATCAACTACAGCAACAACAACATCTACAACTGCTGCGGTACAAACAAATACTACTGTTCCAGTGAACACAACAACTCAATCAACTACAGTCAACAACAACGTCTACAACTACTGTTCCAGTGAACACTACAACTCAGTCAACTACAGAAACAACAACGTCTACAACCACTGTTCCAGTGAACACAACAACTCAATCAACTACAGCAACAACAACGTCTACAACCACTGTTCCAGTGAACACAACAACTCAATCAACTACAGGAACAACAACGTCTACAACTACTGTTCCAGTGAACACAACAACTCAATCAACTACAGGAACAACAACGTCTACAACTACTGTTCCAGTGAACACAACAACTCAATCAACTACAGGAACAACAACGTCTACAACTACTGTGGTACAAACAAATACTAC